GTGATCAATGGCCAAGGTATTTTGCCACATTCACAAATTCTAATTCTCAGAGAAAGGCAGGCAGCCATGGCTATAAAACCTAAGAAAACTATAAAAACCTAGGAACATGTTTTGCCTCTCTCTGGAGAAGCTAAAGAGTGTAGAAAGCAGTGAGATAGCAGAGGATGATCTGAGTGAGATTTTCATTAGTGCCAAGAGCCTATAGCAGGACTACAGTAGGCAACTACCAGGAGGGGACTTCAGGAGAAGGTGGGAGGGCAGCTATAGTTCCCAGTTCTCATTGTAAGCCAGATCACCTAGACAATAGCTCCCAAACTTGGAAGAGCTGTGAGCAAGATCTGCCTAGAATAACAAAATAATGCATCCTAATATTGACCCAACTCTGTCTTTATTATGCATCATAAAGTCTCTAAGAACAACAATCTTCCCTCCAAAAAGGGTGGGAGGGGAAGAAAACAGAATCTTGAATGTCTAACTGCCTTCTAGTCAGTGAATCCTAAGCACATGAAAAGCAAGGAAAACACTCAGAACCAGTTTTGACTTTTGAATTTCAAATACATGGAGTCCATCTCTACCTACTCAATCATTCCCTGGAATAAGTAATGAACTCCTTCCCCTCAGCCACACATACTCCCCACCAAACACAGGGGCATTCATAAAACGTGTGCCTTGTGACATTAATTCTGTCACCTAAAGGAAAAGACAAGACAAATTGCAAAGCCAAACTGAAACTTTTCCTCTAATTACTGGTTCTGAAGAGTATGATGAGCCTGTTCAAAACCCAACAGTCAGGATTTCCCCTTAGGAAGTACCAGATCTTGTTTTTAAAAAGCAACTTAAAAGTAATAGCCACATTGATGCAACACTACACTAAGGGAGAATAATGAACCTAATAAAATTAGCGATTTTCCAATTGCTATTGCTACTGGAAACACTGATTATGCTAATTAAAGGGTAGAATAGTAAATACCAACTCTTTTGCATCCAATTAAGGGCTCAGATTATTTCTCAGAAGTATTTGTTTAAAATAGCACTTCTGATTATCATGAGTCCCAAATAAACAGAGTCAAGTGTGTGTGTGAGTGTGCATGTACATTTCTCTCTGGAGCTCATTACACAGAGTGGTAGAACTCCTAAAATTCCTATGGGACCAAGTGAGAAAAATCATAGTTTCCTAAGACTACAGCTTGGGATATCTTTAAAGGTGTGTGTTGTGAATACAGCACAAGAAAATAATTCAGTTCCAAGTTGGGAACATCTAAGATTTAACATGCAAACACCAGGAATTCAACTGGATATGCAGGGCTGCCTAAGTCCCTCAGAATATCGATGTCAGTTATTCTAAATAATAAAATATCCAGTCAAACTACATTCTACAAAATTTTAGAAGTGTCATCTTTGCAGTCAATTCCATACTTCAGAGCAAAGTCAATTTATATGTAAGTTAAACAAAGCACTGTCGCTAAAAACTGAGAATTATGTTGATTGCCAATCAAAAATACAATAAATAAATATTAGAGGATTTGCAAGTTAAACCAACCACAAAAATTCTATTATCAGAAAGAGAATGTGTTACCTGTGAAGGTTACAAATAAGATGGTAGAACCCAAAGGAGAGTTTCTGTAACTATTTTCATAAGTTAATAAGGAGTGAGAACAGGACAGGTTTTGTACCCACAAAAGAATATATGATTCATTCAGCATGCATTTATTTTTTTTTATTTTATTTATTTATTTTTAGAGAGGGGAAGGGAGGGAGGAAGAGAGAGAAACATTAATGTGTGATTGCATCTCACACGCCCCCTGCAGTGGACCTAGCCTGCAACCCCCTACACTGGGAATCAAACCGGCGACTACTTTGGTTCGCAGGCTGCCACTCAATCTACTGAGCCACACCAGCTAGGGCTCAGCATGTATTTAATCAACAGCGCTTACTCTGAGCCAGGCCTGTTCTAGTTCCCAGGAAAGTGTGGTCAACAAGATAGACACATCCCCTGATGTCTCTAGAGGAGAGAAATAGACAATAAATAAGTAAACAAATCGAGATAATTTCAGATTGAAGAAAGCACTTTAGAGAACATAAAATGGAATAATAGAAGATGAATGCTGGAGAGTGGAAGGGATAATACTTTACCTATAGCTATGGATAGCAGAGCTCCTAGAGACTTGCAAAGCATTTAATATTATGACTATGTCTTAGGTCAAGTTTCCTAAAAGCAGAGCCTGAGGCAGGGATTCAGTTCATGTAACACATTGAGGGAGAGGTCTCAGGAGATGGGAATAAGGAAAACTGGAAGGGCAAGGGAAAGTGCTAAGTGAGATATGGTCACAGCTGGAGACCAGCTTCAGCCTGACACCACAGGGAGCTCTGGAGCAATAAATTGTACCTCAAAGGTATGTCACCCTAAGACTAGGAAGCTGAGATTTTGTCCTCCCTTCAGTCAATCACTGGCCACAAGCAGCTGTTGTTGGAGGAGCACTATGGGGCACCTTCCAGGGTGAGACAGGACTTGGCTACTTGAATGAGGGTAATTTTCCAGATAATGAGGTAGTTGAGAGTCCTTAGCAGCCACCCTCACAGAAATAGGTGTGAACACATTGGCCCAGTAAGGAGATCTGGGTGGGGTACCATTAGCATCCCCTACAACTTCCAAATTTCTTTCTTACTTCCTAAACATACATGAGAAGTGTTGGCATTACCCCTGGTTATGTTTTTCTGCTCATTTATTGACAAAACAGCCATAACCCAAGGGCCATCGTTCTTCCTAGCCATTTACTCTCCATACCAAATCAACATACCATAGTCATACTACTGCCATCCCTTGGTTCTTCTGAAATCGATGAACTTCAGAGTTTTTCAGAACATCCAAATCTTGGATCATACAGATACAAGGTGTGTCACAGAACAACCCTCAAGGTAATAGCTTAGCTGAGATGAAGGAAAGTACATGCTCCCCAAAGAAGCAGGCCATTCACTCACTGAACCAAAAATCTATTGAGTATCTGCTATGTGTCCATTCCTGGAAGAGGAGCTGGTTTGCAAAAACAGAATCTACTTAGCAAGATATGTCCATCTCATTGTTAACACAATGGTGAGCATACAGAAAATTGTTTTCTTTTCCTAACTATTTTACCAAGCTTTATCAAAAAATCACCTCTTTGCTGGGAGCAGATCACTTAAGAATATTTTCATGACTTTGCAGTCACTTGTGTTGTTAAAACAGCCTTATTTCTGAAGACTCAGTTCTGCTCATGGAAGAATCTTCATCTCAAATCTCAGCCAAAGCTCCCCTCCCCAGATGTCTCCTACCCTCCCCACAGAACCCCTGGTGGCCCCAGCAGCCTCAGATAGAAGGAGCATGGCCCTGTGCTCTACTCCTTCAGACACAAACACACACACACACACACACACACACACACACACACACACACTCCCCTGGTTTTACTCTCTGGAGACAAGCAGAAGGAAGAGATATCAGCAACTCCCACGAGAGATTGTAGGAAGGCCATGACCCTTTTCCTGTTGGCTATAATTAGCTGCCCTGCCTAGATGCCCACGGCCTGAAACAGGAGTGAAGGTCACCAGGCCCCATTGACAAGAGTCTCAGTGTCAAGCAGCAATCCCAGGCCCCTCTGGGGCCTTGCAAGACTCAGCCACATTTCATAGCCAACCCACCCCGTTCCTCCTATGCAAGGAGCCCGATATCCCATTCTGCAGTCTTTCTGCTATTACTGAAGCCCTCAGCCTCATCTTCTCTCTGCATTTCAACCCTGGGGCATACAGGCACATTCTAGATTCACCCTCAGTGCCCCACAGGTGACAGAAACCAGAGGAAACAATCATTGGCCCCCTTCACCTGACTATGCCTCCTTGCCCAATGCTCCAGGAAGAATAAAAGCTAAGTTAATTAAATACTTACGAATGTGCTCTACATGCATTTAGTCCTCATGACCAGCCCATGAAGTGGCATAATCATTCCCATTTTACAGATGTGGGAACTGAGGTGGAGAGTGTAACATGCATCCAAGTGGTGGAAAAAGGATATAACCAGGAAATCCTGCATTATAGCACACTTTTAACTGCCATATTGTTCTGCCTCTGGGTGGGTCATCAGGCCCAGTGGTTGAGCAAACATCTGCACAGGGAACAAGATAACAATCCCCCTCTTCTTGCAAACACCTTCAAATTTTAAAAGAATTAGATATAGGAACCAGTAAGGCAGCTTCTCCCCTCTCCAGCTCCAGAGGAAGTCCCAAGATCATATTTCATTAGCTTTGACTGGCACATGGGCCCAGGGCTGAACCAACTTCAGTGGCCAGAGGATGCGGTGTTCTCTGCATCCAAGCTAGAGCCTCACCCGACTTTGGGAGCCAGATGTGAAGTCAATACATCCTGAACCTGGCAGGGAGCAAGGGCAGAGAGAAGTGTCTCCTGGGAAAGTCAGGGGACTCTAACCAGTGGACAGGGGAGTGGGTGCTGGACAGGTAAACATATTAACTGTCCACTACACACGCTGAGTCAGGCCTGTGGTGGCTTGTTATAGCCCGAGGCAAAGAGTGACTACTACATGCCAAAACACGATGCCCAACACTTCACCTTCAAATTATCTAGCTCAAATCTCACAAAAATTCCACCAGCTTTTTGGCATTTTTACATGTAGAAACAGTGAATCATAAGAGATTAAAGAACTCACTATCACCAACTTAGAAAGCCATTTTTCCTCCACTCTAAGAAACTTTTTTTTTCTTTTTGCCATCTCTGAAGTTAGAGTACATCTTCCAGTCACTGGAGTGTTGTGATTACACTCCATGTCTTTCATCTAACAGAGGTTTAGATTCAATGAGACCCTGGTGAAGCCAAGAATGAAATCCAACCACCATGACTCCAAAGCTCACATGTTTTCTAAACCTCTGGACAGAGGTGTCAACAAGTTGGGCTTTGCTAATTATGAGAGAGATATGAGAAATGGCCCTAATGGAATTTTCTTCTTGTGCTTGCAGGGGAGGAAGACGGCGTCATTCCACTATCCTGGGGGAGGTGCTAAATACAAAGGGGAAGCTGTCGAGAGATCCCTGGTGGAGTCTTACACTCACCCAGACAGCAATGAGACAGAGTGGAGGGAAAACATTGATATTGTAATGAACTGGTTCACTAAGGAAGACTTTGACTTTGTGACCCTGTACTATGGAGAGCCAGATAATGTGGGACACCGATATGGACCTGAGACGGAAAACCGAAGGGTAATTATTAAGCAAATCGACAGAACCATCGGGTACCTGCTGGAAGCCATTAAGAGGCACGGCTTGACTGACCACCTCAATGTCATCATCACATCAGACCATGGCATGACCACAGTAAAAAAGAAGCCCAATGTCACTGAGATCCTCTTAACCAATTACATCAAGTACAAGGACCTGGTCAAGTTTGATATCGTGGACTATGGAGGATTTGGGATGCTCTTGCCCAAACCAGGAAAAGAGGAAGCCCTTTACCAAGCACTGAAGAATGCACACCCACACCTCCATGTTTATAAGAAGGAGGAATTTCCAGAACGCTTCCATTTTGCTAAGCACGAGCGGGTCCTGCCAATTGTAGTGTATGCTGACTCTGGTTATAACATTAATGGGGTGAGTTGATTCTAAAATGAAGTCATCTTGGATCTGGGAGACAACCACTAGGGAGGGATGGTTCTGGAAAACATTAAAACATAAGTGCATGCACAATGAGTGGTAACCCACTATGTTACCACTATGTGTTCCCCACCACCCCACCCCATATCCCAACCACACACCCCTGCCCCATGTTACCATTATGTAATAATAATGACAAACATCCCTGACCAAGGCTGAATGTCCAGCGCTGTGCCAAAATCTTAATGTGAGTTATTTCAATTTTATCTTTCCAACAACCTTAGAGACAGATGCTCTTATCTCCCTTATTTTGATGAGGAAGAAACCAGAGCTAGAGAGAAGTGATTTGGGATTAGATGTATAAGGCTGAGGTCTAAACCCAAGCCAGAATGCTTGACTATTATGCACAGATCATCCGGAGAGTCACAAAAAAAGTAACCTCCTGGTTCCCCTTTGCACCTGTTTTAAAAAAAAATCCTGTTCACACAAAAATGTATAGACAAATGCTCACAGCAGCATCGCTCACAGTAACCAAAAGGTGAAAACTACCCAAAAGCCTATCAACTGATGAACGGATGAACAAATATGGTATATCCACACAACAGGATATTACATAGTCATTCGAAGGAACAAAGTCCTGATACATGCTACAACTTGAATGAGCCTCAAGAAAATTACGCCCAGTGAAAGAAGTTAGAAGGAAGTTAGATATTGTATGATTCCATATAAGTAAAATGTCCAGAACAAGCAAATCTATAGACACAGAACATAGATTGGTGGTTGTCTAGGGCCAGGGGTAGAGAGGACTTGGGGACAAATACAGGGAGTGACTAAGGAAAGCCACAGGGTTTCTTTTTGGGGGTGTTAGAAATCTTCTAAACTCGATTGTGATAATAGTTGCACAGCTCTGTTAAGTACACTAAAAATCACTGAATTGTACACTTTACATGGTTACATTGTATGGTATATGAGTTGTATCTCAACAAAGCTGTCATAAAAAAATAAGCAAGTCAAAAGAAGAAAATACCAAAATCAATGCTAATTGTGAAACTTAAGTGAAATGGTGCTGTTTTTGTTAACTACCAACCAACAATTCATAGCAGAACAAATTTGAGGTGATGTTTAAACATCGGCAACAAAAGACCATCTCAGATACAGCTGGAAGAACCCCTTTCTAAGGCTGTGGACAGGAGCCAAACATTATAATTATGTTTGCAATCTGTATACAAGTCCTGAGTATAACAGGTATAGGAAAACTCATTGAGTTATTGTCTACTGGTTGTGGAAGTATTCACAATAAAATGCAACTATTTATTGGTATTTCGTAATCCCTCAAGTAGCCCAAAACCCTGAGGATGTATGTCCAAAGCTAAGGCCTCTCCAAGGAGAGATTCCAGAGTCAGTGGCCTCTTTGTAAACCTGGTTCATGATGTAACAGGTGTCAAGTGATATAAAGTCATTTAATGGGACAGTCACATTCCCAACATGACCAGTCAGATAGTTTGAGGGAATACAAAGCTCTGATAAGTTTAATCTTCTGGCAAACTAACAATTAGAGAGAATATGCTTTGGTCCCAGTACATCCCGCTGAGTACACTTTCTCAGGTTCCCACCTACCTCCCTGCCTTGAGATGCAGAGTAGAGTGGTTGCTGCTCTTCTCTCTGCAGGTGCTAAGGAGCCTGCAAACCACATGAAGTCATCACTCAGGCACTTGCTCTTGATGGGCTGCTCTGTGGCCTCAAAGGTCATTGGACTTGTTTCTTTAGCAAAGGTGAGGGAGCCTGAGCTGAGTGACAGGAGCTTTCTCTATTCACCAGGCCAAATATGAGACCAACTTTCCAAAGTACAAAGCATCACATTTCTTACATGCCAGAATATCTGTTGGTCCTAAAAAAAGATGAACAGTGTTGTGACTAATGTTATTTAGTCATTTAAAAAAGGGCACGGACAAAAACCTATCTGTCATTCATTAAACAATTACCTACAGTCCTTATTCCCTCCTTTTACCTACAGTCCTTATTCCCTCCTTTCCAAATCTTCTCCCACCCCAAAAAATATATATACACACTTTTGTGACACAAAAAATTTACTCTGTTTTGCCATGTATAATGCGTACTCACATTTTGGTGCACATTATACACGGGATTATTATACCCATGGTATGTAGTCATTGTACCTGTGTATGATGTACATCCTTATTTTCCTCTCAAAAATTTGAGCAAAAAAGGCTTGCATTATACATGGCAAAACATGGATAGTTGGCTCTAGAACCATACTCAGAGCAGGCTTCTCAGTTTTCATATCCTCAAAATAGTGATGAGGATAATGGTGTCTTTGCTGGGCCACTGTGAGGGCAAGAGAGCTAACATATATGTATAAAGCGTTCACAACAATTCATGGTACATTGTAAGAGCTCTGTGCTTGAGCTTATTATTATTGTCAGTGTGGCTATCCTTACCTTCTTGCTGTTTCTAATTGGTATGCTTTCTTTATTCTTTCTTAAAGATCTTTTATTCTTTGTTCTCTCTGCCACTGTGAGAAGCAGTGTCCTTCCTTGTCATTTAAATTTTCAAAGATTTCATGGGTCTGACAAGCATGATATTAACTAAGGGGCAGTTTTCTTTCAATGAACTGGAATCTAAAATGGCTTTTTTGTTATTGTTTTTCAGCGACTTATAATATATTTCAACAAAGGCGATCATGGATTTGATAATGTCCTCATGGACATGAAGACCATATTCAGAGCTTTCGGGCCAAATTTCAAGAAGAATCATCTGGCTGAGCCTTTTGACAGCATACATATCTACCCGCTCATGTGTAAGCTCCTGGGTGTTACCCCCGAACCCCACAACGGCTCCCTGTCGGTCACCCAGGGAATGCTTGTGGACTCTTACGACCAGCAGCCAGGTGAGATGTAAAAGCAGCCACCAGGAAACTGGCAGTGTGATCTGTTCTGTCCTGACAAAGAATAGATTCATGATGGGGTCTCCTGGGGAGGGGTTGAAATCAAGCAGAATAATCCTGTTTCCCAGCAGCTTCAGCACCCGCAGCACAAGGTATCAGCAGCTCTAAAAAGACAGCAGAGGACATGCCAGTGACATTTTACAAAGTGCCTCTGGGGCAAAGGGGAGGCTCGCCATAGGAAAATAGAGGATAATCGTTCTGATCCTCAGAAACTGTGTTCAGTCTGCCCCTGGCACCCACCCAATGCCCCTTATAAATACCAAAAATTAGCCTTCCTTCTACAACTCCACGCATTCTGGTGCCTGGAAAAATGCTACTGACCCATTCCACTCATTGCTGGAAAAAGGGGGCAGGGACTCCTGTAAATGATAAGGCTGCTAATTCTTAAGACTTCAAAATCCCACATCTGGGCAACATAAAGGAATAAAGGAATATCTCTGGGAATTCAGTTGTTTGCAAATACTGGCCAGCTTTTCTTCTGCCAGGGAGACTTAGATACTGTTTGATGACTTAGCAAGTACTTAGAGCAACCACATTCAATCAAAAGAGAGTATAAAGAACAGCTTCCTGCACCCTTTTCCCTTCTTCCAAGCCACTGCCCACAATCTTCTTGTGAACTTACTGAAAGCAGGACATTTTGCAGAACACTAATCAAGTAAATGACCGCTTCACCAAATTATTGAGGATTTTTTTTTTTAGAGTTTTGCTCGACTGTTTGAACCCCACTTCTGTCCCATAGCACATTGACAGCTGGGGCAAGGTGTGTTTGACCATCAGTTATTGATAAGCAGGACATCCCACAACTGCTTTTCAGTGACTTGGCTTTTAGCAAATTGGTCATTTGGCAAAGCGGTCATTAGGCAAATGGGTCATTTGGCAAATAGGTCGTTTAGTAAATCGGCTTTCAATGACTTGCCCTGTGAGATTTCTCGACAGTGAGCACTTTCTTGGGTTAAATGTACATTTCATTTCCATAATTAATATTCACTACTGTCTGGATAGGAAACTTCCCAGAGACCCTGGAGCAGCTGGAATAGCATCTTAATAATCAGGCAATTAAAAACCATCTGATTTTTTTTAACAGGAGGAGAGACGCAGAGGGCATATGATCTCCAACCCACAGCGATAGGTCTCGGGGTTGTCACAGGAGTTCTCGCAGTTCTGTTTGTCACTAGCGTGATATACACAGCCATTCAACGGAAAAAGAAGTGAGTGGCCCTTGGGTTTCCTGTGGTTGGTGCGCATAGTAATAATCCATTTCAACCACTTCCTGCTGCAGGGTGTCCAGCACTTTGAGAACCAAGCAACCAGAGCCAGCTTGGGCCCAGGGCACAGAAGAGCCCCCATCTTGGTGTAATAATCAACTGTCACAATCTCAAAATTCTTGATTTTTAATAAGGACCCTGCAGTTTCATTTTGCACTGCACCCCTCTACCACCACCACCAAATTATGCACTGGTTGCAATTTTCTAGGGCTGCCATAACAAAGCACTACAAACTGGGTGGCTTAAAACAACAGAAATGTATTGTTTCACATAGATCTGGAGGCCCAAAGCCCAAAATCAAGGTGTCGGCAGGGCTACGGTCCCTCTGAAACCTGAACAGAAGGGTTCTTCCTTGCCTCTTCTAGCTTCTGGTCATTGCCAGCAATCCTTGATGTTTTTTCTTCAATCTCTAACTCCACTGCCACACAGCTGCCTTCTCCCTGTGTCTTTCTCTTCTAAGGACACCAGTTGTGGGATTTAGGGCTCCCTGTAATCCAACATGATCTCATCTTAATTATATCTGCAAAGGCCCTATTTCTAAATAAGGTCACATTCCTAGGTTTCTTTCCGGGGGACATAATTCAACCCATAATATTGGCCCTGCCACCAATCAAAGCATTATATGAGACTGGTGCACTGCTTTCTGTATCTCAATAGTTTCTCATTATACTGAGCCTCCTGTATTATTCCACCCAATCCTGGCCATTCCTGTACTTTAACATAGCATGAGGACATCCTGAACACTGTAAACTAAGGAAAGTTGGAACTTCACTTAACCTTAACTCCATTTCAAAGCCCATATATAACGTAATTTACATTTAAACTATAAAATTTTCCTGTAAGTTGAAACATGACCTATAAAGGTCTTTACAACCTGAAGCAACATTTTAGAAAGAAATCAATTGGTGTTTTTTTTTTTTTTATAGAAACCATTAGCCATAGGAGACATACATGAAAAACTGCAAAGTACTGATTAAATTGCCATGCCAACAGCTTAATTTATGAAAGGCAACCATCCCATATAGGCATTAGGTTTATTATTGTTGCTTTTGTTGTTATTATTGAAATCCTCAAATCCAGGAGCAGAGTCTTTAACATAGCATGGGCACATACACATCCCTTTCGCCACTAGAAGGACCACTGGGACATGCCCTAATGCTTCTCTCCATATTAGCACCACCTAGAATTTTCACCTGTTGTGTTAAACAGCAGTCCTAATCTTCACTTACGCCTGAACGTACTGCACCTTTGAGGTTCATAGAACATTAAACATCCCTTCAGTGCTTTGATCCTTCCAGATTCAGATCTGAAATGTATCACTTTGTCCCTTCCGAGAGCCCACACGCAAAGATAGTTTTCTTCTGAGTGCGGGTCAATGCTGCTGCCATTCAGGGTCCTTCTCCAATCTTCTTCCCATCTATGGCATTAGGAAAAGTTGTGCAAGCCTAGATTTATTAATATGTTAGTATAGCATTATACAGTATTCCTATGGCATTGACAAAAATGTCCTTTTGCTCCTCAGAGGAAAGGTAATTAATAGCTATTATGTGTGTTCATAGAATAAACCCTATATTTATGAGTTTAACTGATCCATTCCCATTGGTTTTCTCCTACAGGCAGAGAGCTGATCAAAACAACAGAAATGAACCAATACACCTGACCCAGGTCCAGAAGACAGCCTTTTAGGAACAAGACTCAAATCATAGTTAAGACTCATTGTTGTATCACAGATGACTCTGTCTCAGGACACGGTGACTAAAGAGGATTTATGCAACATCTTGGAACCAGAACCTATTAATTCCATGTAAGAACATAGCAATAACTACAGCAAAGCTTCTTATTTATTTAAATCAACAGTGTTAAGGGAATAAAAGATGAAAAATTTTTGTGTCAGATCCTGTGCTCACTTGGTTGTGGAGGAAGCACAACAGACATGAGAGAATAAATACATTCAATTAGAATTAATTCTCCTCTCTTGTTCTCATAGCTGAGCAGGGCTCTAGTGCTTCTCATCTGAAAGGGGTAATGAGATTTAATCTGTCCTCTTATTTACCTTCTGCAAGTATATTTAACAAATTAGCTCTCGAGACACTTCTAAATGGAGTTTTATGAGAGATTAGGGAAGGTAACTGTGTAGACTTTGAACACATTTCAGAGTCCAAAGACAGCACTGGTGAGCTGTGAACTGTCTGCCCTGCCTTTCACTCAAGACATAACAATGTCAAACAAAAGTAATTATTTTTCTTTTCCTCTCCTTTCCCACCTCTGTACCACCCCACAACACCCAAGAGCCCTCTTACTCTTTTTCCAGATTCCTTGTTCCTACAAAATGAGAACTCCCACTCAGCTCTATGTGCTTGCCTGCCTGGCATATAATGCCATCATGCTTCTGCAGGTATCTGTGTGATAATTAGTTCAAGAGACCCTGAGCCCCTGGACAGCAGGGACCACTCCTGGTCTTTCTCACTGTTGCATCCTCAATGCCTGACATTGCCAAGCATATAATAAGTGCTTCATAAGTATCTGATGAACAGAAGTCCTCATGAGTTAGGGCTAGACCCAAAGGTTTGGGGAGTGAGAGTTCTTGCCTTGTGCTGTCACCAGAGAAACCCTCATACTTCTTGCCAACACAGTAAAGAATTACAGGTCAGCAAGCCTATTAGCATGCAAGCAAAGTTTATTAGTGAATGGGAGAGCAAAAGCAAGGGTAGCTAGAGCAAGGGTGGCAAAAGCAAGAGTGGCCAAAGGCCCGGGTGGCCAGCACCCAGATAGCTAGAGGCTGGGTGGCCAAAAATGAGTGGCTAGGGGCCTGGTGGTCAGAAGGCCCCCTGCCACAGACTGAGTGGCCAGGACCCCCTCCCCTCCATGTGCAAGAGAGCCAGGAGCCAAGAGAAGAGGCCAAAAGAGAAAGTCCTTTGTTCTGAGGACTTACATAGTTGGTGGAGTAGGGGTGGAGAAGTGACATATTGATTGGTGGGTAAAGGTGGTGCCAGTCTTCCATGGAGGTGTGACAGCCTAAACATAGGTATATGTGAGGGTCTGTTAGCTAGAACCCTTACCTTTTTTTCTTTTTGATGCAAAATAAATTTTATTTTCATTTTAATGAACTGTAATGAATTACAAGCTTTAACAAAAGTTTGGGACAGAGAGATTGGCAGATGGTAGGGAAGAGGGCTGAGAGGGAGTGAAAATGAGATGGGTCCTGTCAGCTGGTACTGACATCCTAGGTGATTTTCTCTAGGTTTCTAGAAATTTCCAGAAGTCCAATTTACCTAAGAGGAGGCCAACTATTCATTAGTGCCATATTATAAAAATGTCTCTATGAACTATAGTGAATTCATCATCCTTTTTTTTCCTCACATGGAATAACATTCACATTCTAGATTTTTTTTCCATTTTATGCAGGGGGAACAGAGGCAGGTGCCTTCACTGGGGGCCACTGGTTGACTGGCTTCACTGAAAGGCCACACAGTTGATCTTGAAGTCAACTTCTGCCACCAAGTAACTGATGGCCTCCAGGTGGAGACATTTGGGGAACTTGAACATGTATCCATCTGGCAACTTAAAGATCAGGTCTGCCTGGTGGTAGAAGGGGATGCACACCCCTGTGACACTTCCAGGCTGGAAGGGGAAGGCGGACTCCCAGTGCTTGGTCTCCAGGACCCTCTGTCCTTGCTATTACACACAGTAGTGTTGGTGACCCTACGTATATTGAAGCAAAGGTTGAAGTGCAGCCCTTTGTTGTCATCTTTGCCCATGTTCAGCATGAAGTTCTTGCTGTTGCGGGCCACTTCCACCCGCACTCTAAGGCACTCTGTAGGTTTGAGATACAGGTTCCTGGCGAGCAGACCGCAAGCCGTTACTGAGGATGGTCATTGGTTCTGTGGCTCCAGCTATCTGAAGACTCCATCCTAGTCTCCAGCAAAGGCAGGGGCAGAGTGGGCTAGAGACACCTGGAAAGGAGGCTTTGGAAGAGAACTGAGAGAGCAGCCGGCGGGATCCTGGTGCTGACTCATCTCCCATGCGGCAGCAGCCATCTTGCTCAGGCAGAGACCACCTAGAATCCTTATCTTGCTCTAGACTCTATTTGTTCACTTTGTACATGCCTGAGGCAGGCAGTTAACCAAAGAGTTTTATGGGCCCTTTCTTCGGGCACTGTGGATACCCTCCCCTTCCCCCTTCTAGGCCTTGGGATGAATACAGAGTCTCAAGATTTTCCTTTTCTCAGTGGAGATGATATACAAGGACTTTCAAGGGGTCCCTCACACCCCTCACTATCACTGTTTACTTGTGCTGTTTGGTTCACATGGAAGTCTTTGCTTTCCAGGATAACTAGGCTCAAGGATAACTAGGTCAAAGGTGTGGCATGCTTTTCTTCGCTTTCAGCCTCCTGTATTAAGTTCTTAGTTAGATTGCAATGGTGAAGGCCCTGACTTTATTTCCCTTCTAGCCACCCATTCCTAGCTGCTACCTGAATGTTAAAAGATGTTGCCTGGCAACCAGGAAGCTAGACACTGACCAGCAACAGTGGCGCAGTCTCAGGATTTTTCCTATGTTATCTCCTGCAACATTGTCATAGAGAGGACATGACCGCGGTTTGACCTGCGAGCCGGCTCAGGGCAGTTGTAGGCTCCTCACCCACTCCCCTGCCCGCCATTCCCAAAGTGGGAGCTGATTCTAGGACACAGCCTTGAGGGAACAGTGGCGTTGAGACCACCTGGACTGAACCGGTTAAGGCCTCTACAGAAATTTCAAAATTCCAGCAGGTAGTTCGGAAACCGGCTCCTTTTGAGACACCGAAGACAACCTGCCACCTACCCGTCTGGAGTGGCCTGCCTCGCTTCCGTTTCTCTTTGCCTCCTGTGTACCAGCCAGTTGGGAGATCAACACCCTGTACTAAATGCCCTTTTCCAAGGCGGCCATGGCCTTAACCCACCAGCCCTTGAGCCTGAGTATGTGCCCCCACACCCACGAGGGGCATGGTGGCTGTCAGGACCCCTTCTGCCCATTCACACAGAGGGGTGGTACTGAAGGACACAGGGCTACGATAAGGCCGCAGGGGCAGTCCCTGACATAAAGACCCTTAATAAAGGTGCAGGAACAGTGAGAATGACTCGCTTCTCTGTAAAGCCCTAACGTGGCACCAAACGTGGCACCAAACATGGACTCCGCCCCGCCCATAGTTTGACCCCGCCCCCTCCGACCCTGACCCCACCTCCTAGCTCTCAAACTACGCTCAGGCCCTCGTCCAGCATCTGCCTCGAACCTTCCCCAAGTCCCGCCTCCCACAATCCCACGACGCCGAGACTGCCTCCCCAACACCACACTCTAGAACCTGAGCACCGCCTGACCCCGCCTTGATACCACAAGCCTCGCCTCCCGGGGCCGCGCAGCGCCTGGTCCCGCCCCAAGCCCCGCCCCGGCGCGGCGAGGCGCCTCTGGCTTGGCTCGCCCCTCCTCGGTACCACCCTGCTTCCGCCCTGCCTCCGAAGCAACGCTGCGGCTCCGCCCCGCCATGGCGCCGGAGGAAGGCACCGAGACCTCGCGCCTGCTGCGGAATTTCGAACGCCGCTTCCTGGCGGCGCGCGCGGTGTGCTCGTTCCCCTGGCAGGTGGGCGGCTCGGCGCGCCGAGGGCGATCGTGGGTGGTGAAGGACTGATGAGGGAGATGCTTTGGGCACCCACCTCCGTCCTCTCCGCCACGTGACGGCGTTAGCTTTCTCAGGGGTCCGGGCCGTATCTTTGGTTCTCGACCCAGGGCTCCGTCGAGGGCCGCGCAGGCTGGCGGCAGAGAGCAGGAGGTGCACCTGCGCCCCCCTGGGAAGCCCGCCCTCCACCCAGCCATCAGCTCCTTCCTCCCGTAGGCTCTTCCGGCCCTGGGCTGTTTTTGCTAATTTGGGTCCCACGAATTGAAGGAATGCAGGGTTTCCTCCCAACTCTCTTTTCACTCAGGTTTTTAGGGTTATGGGCAGTTCCCAGTAATTTTCATGAGTTTTATTAGCCAGTTATCATCCCAGCCATTGAATAAACAGCCTTTGTTGCCCATTTAAATAGTCAAGGGTCTCATGACAACTGGAGATATGTTTCAGTGAGCGCAATGACCAGATCACAGACAACCCCTCCCCCCCCCCACACACACACACACACTGGGGTGTTCTCATCTATATTGTCAGCATTAGACAAAATCCTCTTAGAGGCAGCTTGAGGCGCTTAAGCCTCTGATGGAAGAAACAGGGAGGTACAAAGCTGGCCAGAAAATAGATGAAAGAGGTCTCACCACAACCCACCTCCCCCCGCGCCCAACCCAGCCCCTGAGGACCTGCCATTGTCGCACAGGCCATTGGCGGGGCAGCAGCTTCCTCTGCCAAGGGGGAACTTCTAACGACGCTGCTTCCTTTATAATTCATTTATGCTGAGCTCACTGGAGTGACTCCCAGGTCTTGCGCATCTTAAGGAGTGGTGGTTAGTCATTTGTATTTTATTGATGTAAACCAATATAAACCATTTCGCATTCTAAGAGTTCATTTTCGATCAGAAAATGAATGTGTACATTTTTTAACCCAATTAAACCTTTATAGCAGCATCTATGGGACCCAATTCAATATCAACTAGAATTGTTCACATGAAATTAGTGCATACTCTGTATCAGGACCATCCTAAGTGCATACTTAGGCTGGCCCACAACATCTAAGTGGTAGGCACTATTATTATCATTGTGTCTGAGCACAAAGGATTGACTAGAAAAGAAGCAGAGTGCAGCGGTGGAGAGCTCAGACCTGGAAGGCAGCCTACCTGCTTGGAATCCTGGCCCAGTCCCATAAAGATGTGTGACCTTGGGCAAGTGAGTGCATACCTTTGGGCCTTAGTGTTTTTTATTAGTAAAACAGGAGATATACTAATGCTTATTTCATAGGATTGTTGTCAGGAGTATATGAGAATGAAGTATCTGAGGCAGTGTCTGGCTTGTGGTAAGTGGATGTGAATGTTAGCTAGTATTTTTATTCCATCACCAAATGTTCACTGAATGCCTCCTATGAGCCAGGCACCAGGATCAGCAGCATAATGATGAGGACCTACTCAGATAGGAGAGCCAGAGGGGGGAGGAAAAAAACATAAATGAATAAGCAAGAAAATGCCAGAGGATGGCAGTAGCTATAAAGTCAATAAAACAAGGAAATGTATCATCAAAGTAGGGGAATCAGGGAAGGCCTCCCAGAGGGAACATTTGAGCCAGAACCTGAACAGTGAAGCAGCGGGCTGTGGGAGGTCTTAGGGAGCAGGGAGTGCAAAGGTTCTGCCAGTGAGAGCAAGCTGCTGCGAGGAGGCCAGTGTGGCTGGAGTGGCATAAGCAGGGATGGAACGGGGTGGTGGCAGATGAGGTGAGAGAGAGGCCAGGGCTAGGTCTTGTAGGTCTTTTAGGGTGTGATAAGTTGCTCTGGAGAAATGAAGTGATTTGCCCAGTGTCACATACCAGCCAGGCAGTCAGCCTGATTCTGGAGCCTGTGCTCGCTACCGGGCTGGAGGCCCCTGCAGGAAAGGACAGTATATATAGCTGGCCCTGGCAGCTGCACGTTCTGTATGTCCACTTTAACTTGGATGTCAAGTCCAGGGCAAGCCCATCAGGCGCTGATGTCTAACTGTAATTCCTAGCTGACCAGTTCAGCCATGGAGCTTGTCTGTCACCCAGGTGAGGTTTAGCAGCCAGAGCTAATGCAAACCAAGAGTCTATCTCCTAATATTCTTTCTGCAACTCATCCAGGTGTAACCTGGGACTTTCAAGGTCAGGCTTTCAGCGCCTGTGGCTTCCACTTCCAATTGGCCCCAGGTCCCAGGGGAGAAATCACTTAGCACTTTGCCAACATGCCCTGCTGCATGTTTAATGTTCCTGTGAAAATGCCCTTGAGACCTCTTTCTCTCTCACCCTCTGTCTCCAAATAGAGCCTAGAAGAGAAATTACGGGACTCGGGTTCTGAGCTGCTGCTGGACATTTTGCAGAAGGTAAGAATCACGGAAACACGAGACACGTTACCAGCCTCCTGACTTGCCCAAGAGGACATGACAGGAGTGAAGTGGGTGTGCTTGTATCCTTTAAAAAGAAAGGCACTGTATTTGGGTGGAAGCACTTCAGAGAGCTCTGGCTCTTTTATGTTGTCTTGGATGAAGATATAAGAATATACAAAAATCTACTTGAGAGGAGGGGATCTGGGGGATGTTTTTTAAACTGTAGAGAAAACAGATGACAGCTGTGGGAACATCTAGCATTTGCTAGCTGTTCAGAGACTTTCTTCTTTAAATTTAAGGAAAAAAATAAGGATATGGATCTTGCCCACTTGTGTCTCTTTTCTAGCTCTAGATGGGCCCCTGCTTTTCAGAGGTGAGTTTGGGATTCTCAGGAGCATGTGGGTGAGGGTGTATATGGAACCACCGCTCTGCCTGGCCTGGCCCCAGCCTGCCAGGCTATCCACATAGTGTGATCAAGTGCAGATCACACTGCATCCAGGCTGTCAGCCCTCTGAACGGTCCTGGACCCTTCCCAAACCCAAAGTTATGGACTCTCCCCCTAGAAAAAAAATGCATGAGAATACATTTCGCATATAAATTCAGGGAAGTCACAGGCTTGCCCCCTACTACTAAGCCCATCCAAGGATCCCAGATTAAGAATTCCTGTGTGAAGGGTGAGCCCGGAGTATCCATCTGACCACGAGGTGGAGAAGATGGAGCTGTAGCTATGGAGGACTTCCAGGGCAATCTAGCATTCAGGACTGTGATCTCGGAGATGTCCGAAGTCATTGTTCATTACCCTGTAGCCTACTCTGATTCTAACCTACACCCGCGTCTAACACCAGCCAACTAGAAAGCCCCTTGAGCAGTGTGTGGATATTTTATTGCCCTTGGGTAAAATCATGTCCCTCTAGCCAAGAGGCCCCTGTGACCCGACCCCTGCTCTCATTGTTCCTGTCACCCTGCCCTCCTTCCCAAAATTCCAGGCTGTGGCCACCTTGGAGCCTGCATAAGCTATACCCTCTGCCTGGATCTCGCTCCCCTGCTCTTTGATTCTCTATGTTTCCACCGAACTATTCCCCCTGAGCACCCCTTTTCCCCCTCCTCCACATCCCAGGCAGAGCCCCCACCTTCTTCTGTTTTGGCCTCATCACACTCTGGCTCCTGCTCATCTCCTTGGCCCAGGATGTGCACTCCAGGAGGATAGGTGCCAAATCTGCCTCGCTCCCACCATTTGGGCTCTTGCCTCTTCCACAGAGCCAGACAATCCCACACTTGTCCTTACTACAAACTCTATAATTCATGCTGGCTGCCCTGGGAACAGATGTGTCTTAGTCCATTCCAGCTGCTGTAACAGAATGCCATAGATTGGGCAGCTTATAAACAACAGGGATTTATTTCTCGCAGTTTGGGACACTGGGAAGTCGAAGATCAAGGTGCCAGCAGGTTCAGCGTCTAATGAGGGTCTGCTACCTTGTTCATAGAAAGCCATCTTTTCATTGTGTCATCATATGGTGGAAGGCACAAAGGAGCTCTGTGTGGTCTCTCTTATAAGAGCGCTAAACACATTCTTGGGGGCCGACCTCCATAACCTAATCACCTCCCAAAAGCCCCACCTCATAATACCATCACATTGGGTGTTAGATTTAACATATGAATTTGGGGAGGCACAGACACCCAGTCGATAGCAGGGTGTTAGCTTAGGTCCATGTGCCTCATGGTCCCGCCCAGAATGGGCATTAGAAACACTGCCACAGTCTGTGCTGCTGTGGTAGAGAAATTTTTTTGAGAAAGGACTTATCTTAAGATTCTTTCGATTGCGTGAGGAACACCTGGAGCCAGAACCCGTGTGTGAGTGTATGTCTGCAGAGGGATTGGGTAGCTGGGGTTTGCCCTGTATTCATTTAACACTCATGGGAGACTTAAGGCTGGGTCTCTCCAGCATCTCACATGTGTCCTTTGTCACAGACCGTGAAACATCCTCTATGTGTGAAGCATCCACCGTCAGTGAAGTATGCCCGGTGCTTTCTCTCGAAGCTCATCAGAAAGGTAAGCAGTGGGCACTGTCCGGTAGCCACACAGCATCTGGGACCTGGCTGGCTCTCCAGAAGTGGGGCCTCTGCCCGTCTTTGCGTCTTGGAGCTCAGACCCAGCCTATGCCCTTTGCGTGCTCTGCAAACCCCCATTCAGCAGGTGTTCCCTGGACAACAGCCTCCCAGCTCGGTTCCACCAGTGAAAGGCCATGGAGGGCGGGAGGAAAGGAGAAGCCAGGGCATTTCTCCCTCTCTGCCTCAAGGCATGTCTGGCAGCAGCTGCATCTCCTCTGTGGCCCCTGTGCAAGTTCTCCTTCCTGTCTGGCAGCCCTGAGCACTGCAGTCCCCACTTTCTCCCTCTGCTCTGCCACCTGAAAGGTATTGACAGTTTCCTGCTGTTGCCAGTCTCTATGGCTGATTTGTCCCCTTTGCAGGTTTTAGGTCTTGCAATGCCTTTAGAACTAGTCCCCCTTATTACTGCCTTCCCTCCAACAAATTACCTGGAATACCTCTTTTCCTGACTGATACTGGATGGATTTTAAGGATGAGCCCAAATTTGCTGAGTTTTCATGTTAGGCTGGACTTCAGAAAGTCAGTTCCTCAGTGGTCAGTAGCAGACCCAATGTGTTTGATCTCTGAATAGAAGGGCTATGCCTCACCCAGGCTTAGCACATGGAATGATCCAGGCTTTTCCATTACCTCCATCTCCATTGCTCACCAGCATGATGCATCTAGGGTCACCAGCAGGTCTCCCCCATGCCACCTGGAAAAGCGTGGCCACCCGATGCCGTCCCACGCCACCCCCATGGGGCACAGGACGGGGATGCCCACCAGTGAAGCTACCCCCGAAACGTGGAATGCTTTGGCCTGGGCCCACTTAAAAGCACCATTTGTTTTCTCCACTCAGGACATCATGATCGAAGAGCTGAGCTCCCTGTCCCTGTCACGTGGCAGCTCCCATGCAGTTCCATTTCTGCTGCCCTAGACTACACCTTACTCACCCTCACCCTCTCCACACCTCTTTGAGATACCCAAGGTTCCCCAACCAGGTGAATTTTTTATATGCCAGCTAGCCTGTATTATGTTAATTCATCCCACACTGTACCTTCGAATTGGTGAAAATCCTCCAGCCATTTTTAGAAGTCAGATAAAAGCAAATAGAGAGGACCTTTGTTTGATTCATGAGGGTCATTTTAATGCCCTTGCTGAAGCTATCGCTCCACCCACGCGCAGCACGAAGCTGTCCACCAGGAGCCTTTGGATGAACTGTACGAGGCATTGGCAGAAGTCCTGACAGCCGAGGAGCCCGCTCAGTGCCACCGGACCTATCTGCTGGTAGGAGCCAGACGCCTTTCTTCCCACACAGGGCAAACACTCACCTCTGCACACAGAGTTAAAACTCAGGCTCCAGTCAGCCTCCCGTGGGTTCATATCTTGACTCATCAGCTCTATGGTCTTAGATGGAGTCACTTAACCTCCCCGAGCCTTAGTTTCTTCATCTGTAAATCAAGCACTTTGACAAATAATAGTACCTATCTCACAGGCATGTCTGGGAGTTAAGTTAGGTAACGCACAGCATTTACACAGCAGGGACCTGGTGCTCAGTGTCCAATAAATACGTGATGAGTGGGTGTTATGGGACGGCAGTCACTTCCTACTCTCCCCGCCACCACCCTCACCAGCCTAGACCAATGCCAGGGCCTTCTGACTGGTCTTCCAGCTTCTTGCCCCAGAAAAATTCTTTCTGCACACAACAGCCAGAGGGATCTTGGATGTTTTTGTTTGTCTGTTTTTAACCTTTCACTATAAAATAGAATACAGATACACAAAACCACACAAAAGAAGTATACAGCTTACTGAATCCTTGCAAGGCAACCACCATGGCAACCGCCACTCCAGTCAAGGGACAGAACTTTGGCAGCCACCCCACAAGGCCCCCATCTGACCTATCTCCATCCCAGCCCTTCGTCCCTGCAAAAGTAACCACCATCTCCCTTTCAGACTAATCTGAGGTTTTGTCACTGCCCTGTCTACCCCTGGACACTAGCATTTTGTGTCAGCTATTAAGTAGGTGTGACTTGCAGTCTCCCTTCCTCCGCAGGTACCCTACCTCCATCCCAGCTCGCTCTTTTCCTGGCAGTGCCTCCTTTGAACAGCCCTGGAGATTTTGTCTAGACAGCTTTTCACAGGATGGCTTTTGGTTGCTCACACATGGTGTTACTCAGCTTGTTCCTCCATCCTCTGTTTCCTGAAAATTGGTGTCTGGATTCAAAGGCCCACTCAGATTCATGTCTGATTGCTTTGCCAAGGACACAATATGGAGGTCTGGGAGGCACATCATATCTCTTTTTCATCCTTTTAATGATCATGGTTCTGGATGCCCAAATCTTAGACTCCTTTATTCACTGGAGGATACAAAAGGGTGATTTTCTGATTCTATCATCTTGTTTTCATTCATTAGCTAGAAAAATTTTGTAAGGAGGTGCCTCCCTTCATCTATTATTTGTTTACTCATGGGTACCACTTGTAGAGAAAAGGCAAGATACAGGCTTGATCTTTACTTTTCAAGACAGTGAATTTGTTTCTTATCCTCCCCAGCAGGGATTCAGTCCATGCAAATTATGTCCTTATTAAAGCTCAAAATGTCCTATTTTGAGCCACTTCAAGTAGGTTTCTGAGCCCTTTTGACATTACTCTTAATAGTTTTCTGGCCTTATTTTTTTGTCAAGCTTTTCCAGACTCATCTTGTGTATTTCCTTGCCCCAACCTGGAATTAGTCATGTCTTCAACGAGCCCTGGTTTCTTTTAGCAAGAAATGATATATTTAAAGACCACAGCCTGGGCATTAGGATACTCATTGCTACAGTGTAGGTCTTCTTGTGGACAGACTGGGATATGAGTGGTGATATGTACATCCACACTTTTCACAATAGACGACCCCGTGGGTCCATATTGATGTTTCTGATTCAAAATCAGAATTGCAGGGTTTCACACAACCTTTTTACAGTGCATCTGTGTCTCCTTTCTCCTACACCAGAATTCTGGTTCTGAAGAACACGGGGGATAGTGTTAAGATATCCCTCAACTCCCTATTTCCTTTTTCCCAAAATACTTACACAGCCATCTCAGAACAACAGTGCTAATCCTATCCACCAATTATGGTTACTGAAAACAGTGTAAAACTTTTATACGTACTATTCCCATTCTCCCTCGTTTTGTTTGTTTATCTGTTTGTTTGTTTGCCATACCATAACTACATTGTCATCATAAAGGCATTACCTAGTATTACCACAAACTTAGCAGTTTAAGGCAACATAAATTGTTGCATTGTCTTATAATTCTGTAGGTCACAAGTCTGGTGGACTCTGCTGGTTTCTCTTCTTTGAGACTCACAACACTAAAATCAAGGTGTCAGCAGGGCTGGGCCCTCAACGAAAACCTGCTTCCAGGCTCCTGCAGGTCATTGGCACAATTTTGTTTTCTGTGGCTACAGGACTCGGGTTCCATTTCCTTGCTGGCTCTTGGCTGGGGGTGGTTCTCAGCTTCCAAAGGCCGCCCCTTGTGCCCTGGCTCACGGCCTCTTCGTTGCCAAAGCCAGCAACAGCATGTCGAGTTCCTCTTGCAATTTGAATCTCTCCTGCCTCTTTTTCTCTGCCTCTGTCCATCTTCAGCCAGGAGAAAAATGCTCTACTTTTAAGGGCTCAGATGATGAAATTGATCCTACCTGCATAATCCAGGATAATTTCTCCATGTTAAGTTGTAACCTTAAGCACATCTTCAGAGTCCCTTTGCCATGTAACATAACACAGTCACAGGGTCAGGGGTTAGGGCTTAAATAATACTGACTTAGCACACATTCCATAACCTCTTTCTTTTCAATTTGTGCATCGTTAGAGCTTCCCCTCAATCCACATGATGACATCTCTCTAACCATTTTGGTTTTCTGAAGTTTGTTCTCTAGTAGATTCTTTAAGAAGAGCTTCTGGGATTGACCTTCCTGGAGTTCGTACATGTTGATAACAGTTTGAGCCATTTACACTTGAATCCTGACTCACATTTTCTCTCTTGAGTCTCTTAAATATATTTGTCCGTTTTCTTTGGCATAAAGCATTGTAGAAAAGCCTAATGATAATCTAATTTTCTCTCCCTTTTATCCTACGTGCCCTTTTCTCTTAGATGGCCAGAGGATTTTCTTTCTTTAAAATTCAGTGATTTTACTAGAATATGTCTTGAGGGCGATTGTTCTGGGCCAGTGATCTCAGGTACAGTGTGTGTACTCCTTCAACATTATTTCAGATCTTTTTGTTTTTTCAGGAGTGCTCTTTTGAATTATAATTTTTAGCATTTGTTTAGGTTTTAGTATCTAAAAATGAGTGGCTTAAAGAAAAAAAATTATTATCTCATAGTTCTGGAAGCTATAACTCCAAAATCAAGGTGTGGGCAGGGTTGCCAGGGAAGGCTGTGTTCCAGGCCTTGCTCCTCAGCTCGTAGACAGCCATCTTCTCCTCTGTCACTTCACATCATTGTCCCTCTATAGTGTTTTGATGTCCTACTTTCCTCTTTTTATAAGGACTCATGGTAATGGATTGGGTGGGGGGTGGGCAGTGACCCCCAATGACCTTATTTTAACTTGATTCCCTCTATAAAGACACAGTCCTCAAATAAGGTCACACTCAGAGAGAGGTGCTGGGAGTTAGGACTTCAGCATAGGAATTTGGGTGTGGGGAACACAGTTCCTCCCATAGCAATCTCGTCCTTAATTTCTTTTCTATTTTTAAAAATTGCTTCCTTTCACCTCCTGTCTCTCTTGACTTTATTTTTCTTTTGTGTTTATTCTCATGTTCCTTTGAGTAAACTTTATTTCTGAAGTGAAGTTTTCTGTTATTGTCGCACACATCTGAGTGTTTCTAGTTGCCATCAGGCCCCATCCCAGGTCCCTCACACCCACCATGACAGGTGGTCAAGTTCCCTCTTAAGTGTTCTTGCTGTTCTTGGCTGGTCCCTGCATTTCCGGTGAATACCTTTCAGCCCTGGATTCTCCAGGCCTCAGGTCCGCCACATGGCCCATTCCATCCCTCTTCCATCTCCACACGCACGTTGAGCATGAGGGTTGTGTCTGTGGTTTTTTCTTACCTGTTCATATTTTCAGGTTCACAGAGGTACATTCGTGTAAACACTGTCCGTGTCTCACTGCTCTGTCTGTTCTTACGTGGGGATTCAGGAAGGTTCAAAACTATGCAGCAGCATCTTCCCCAAATTCCGCTGAGTGGACCTCCTAATTTAAAACATAAATCCTATCATGTCACTCACTTGCTCAGAACTTACCAGTGGCTTCCCTTTGCACTGTGACTCAATCCTAATTCCTTCAGCAGCCTATGAGGCCTCACATGCCCTGCCCGAGCCTTTCTCTCTTGTCTAGTTCCTCCTGCTCTCCCTATGCTCCGGCCCCCGGTCTTCTTTCTCTTCCTTGAACTCACTAGCTGCAATGCTGCCTCAGGGCCTTTGTACTTGCTCTGCTTTGTACTTGCTCTCCCCCTAGAACCTTACATGCCTCACTTCTTTTTACCCAGATCTCAGGTCATGTGTCACATCCTCCAGAAAGCTGTCCCTGACCAATCTATCTGAAACAGACCTCCTCTTCCACACCCCCAATGTTCTATTATTGTACAGTGCCTTCTTACTTTTGTAATGGCACTACTGGATAACTGTGAAATTATCCACAGTGCAGGCACTGCCACAGCCAAGGCAAAGAACTGTCCTGTCACTGCAAAGACCTCCCTCAGGCCACCCCCTTTACAGTCACACCCGTCCCCCGTCCCCATCCCTAACCCTGGTTGCCACTGACCAGTTTCTCTATCTCCACAATTCTATAATTTTGAAAATGTTAGATAAATAGAGTCACACGGTATGTGACCTTCCTGAGACTGGCTTTTTTCATTCAACATCACGCCCTTGCCGTCCATCCAGGTTGGGGCACACATCAACACGTTGTTCTTTTTTTTTTTTATTGCTGTGTGAGTAGTCCACGGCATGAACCAGCTATTTAGCCATGCACCTGTTGTGATTTTTTTCTCTTTAACACCAACTCCTCCTCCTCTGGTAGCTGGGTTACTCTCTCTCCCTGTCTCCATCCAGCCTTCTGGGAACTCGGTCACACTCTCCGAGAGCACAGCCATCATTTCCCATGGCACCACCGGCCTGGTCACGTGGAATGCTGCGCTCTACCTTGCAGAATGGGCCCTAGAGAACCCGGCGGCTTTCACTCACAGGTGACCTCGGGGCGCAGGGCAGGGCGCCGAGGCAGGTTTGCCCCGACACAACTGTGGACACGTATCCCTTCTCCCACTCAGGACTGTCTTAGAGCTCGGCAGTGGAGCCGGCCTCACAGGCCTGGCCATTTGCAAAATGTGCCATCCTAGAGCATATATATTCAGCGACTGTCACAGCCATGTCCTCCAGCAGCTCCGAGGGAACATCCTTCTCAATGGCTTCTCGTTGGAATCAGATGCCACCACCCCAGCGCAGCACACAGGACACAATACCCACAACTCAGAGAGCCCCATGGTGACAGTGGCACAGCTGGACTGGGATGTTGTGACGGCCCCTCAGCTCGCTGCCCTCCAGCCAGACATCATCCTCGCGGCAGGTACTGCTCAGCCTTGGCCACTGAAGCCTGTGGCTTCCCTGTGGCTCCGCCCAGCTCTCAGTTCAGGGAAGGGGTCCGTGGACTCTGCGGGGGCAGAGTGGGTGATGATGAGACGTCTGGAAGAGTCACTGTGAACCTCCAGGGTGACATCAAAGCATAGGGTGTGCCCATAGGACTATACCCTAAAGCCACAGTCCTTCTGTTTGAGAAAATGGCCACGTGCACTCCCCATTTTAAGTGGTTTCATCAGATAAATGAACCTGGCTCTTTCCAGGAAGGCCTGGGATGAACAGAAAACGCCCCGGGGTGCCAAGCCAGTCTGACCTATTAGCCAGGCCACAGCCGAGTAGACAGGCTTTTATGTCCCTCTCCGGCAGCGGGAGGGAGGCCGCTCGGTTGCCATCTAGAACGTAAATCAAATAGCTAGAGCAGCCCCCTCTCCATATGGGAGCATGGGGGGAATGGCCGTGGCGGCCTTGTCCTTTCTGGTCCACAAAGAATGGCACGATTTTCCCAAGACCATGTCTGATTCCTCTGCGTGTTGTGGGCACCCGCAGGCTTAGGGACCAACTATAGTGGTGTCTGAGTCGGGGAAGGAGCTCTGAGTGTCCCCACTGCTGTGAGCACGGGCTTCCCTCTGCCCTGTGTCATCACCACATGTTTGCATATCCCTGAGGGAAAGAGTTCCTGCATGTTTCTGTCCCATGTGCGTACCCCACGGAGGGGGATGCCCACTTCCAGTGCGAAGACAGGGTCCTTAAGAGAAGGGACATTTGGCTTGGCAATGGACAGGCTCTTTGTCCTCTGCCAAGCTGACCCTATCCCCTGTCTGGCTGACAACACTGTGCCTCGTCCTGGGCCACAGCCCTGAGACCCGCAGACGCACGGTGGCCAGAATGCAGAGCCTGAGCAGCACAACCCAAGGCAGCACCCATCCCTGCAAGCCTGGCTGTTAGGTAGGAACAAGCTTGTTTCCTGCAGAGAGCAAAGCAACAGGCCACTGGAATCAAGAAATCTGAAGCAGGCTCAGGGTTTGTTTTATTAATTGTCTTCTAAATAGGCCATGGGCAAACAATTGATTTTTTTTTTTTTTTAAAGGAACACAGTGAGTCTTGGATATTTTTCAGTTGTTGCATTGCCTTTCAGCAGCTTTTGTTCTCTCCTAAGGATTTTCTTTTTTTACCACATAATTTTCTTTCCATATAATACAACTGCTGCTTTCCCAGCCCTTGCCCCACTGCCAAGGTTGGCATAACCCAGTGTCCTCAATTCTGGGGTCCTGAGTCCTAGAGGGGATCCCTGTCAGTAACCTGGGGCTTTCATTGCAGATGTGCTGTATTGCCCAGAAATTATCCTGTCCCTGGTCAGGGTCCTGCAGAGGCTCTCTGCTTGCCAGAAGGACCGGCGGGTTCTTGATGCCTACATTGCCTTCACCATCCGCAACCCCGAGACATGCCAGCTCTTCACCACCGAGCTAGGTGAGTCCCGGAACCCCTGGACAGGCTGCTGTTTCAGAGAGGCCATCCAGGCCTGCCTCCAGTGAGGCAGAAATTGGAGAAGTAAAAGAGTGGGCCCTAAAGACAAACCAGGAGCCTCGACACCTGCTGCCCTGAAGGTCAGCAGGGGAGGCAGGGCCGGAGAGTGGGCTCTGTGGGGATGGAAGTAACTCACACCGTGATCCTGGAGGGCTGGTTCCACCAGCAGCCCTGCCGTGTGTTTAGAGCAGGTTTCCAGAGCTTTTTGGCCTTTGTAAAGTGGAAGGGATGGTGGACGCCAAAAGGTGTCAGGGTAGATGAGGTTCAGGCCACATGGCAGTCCTGCACAGGCTCTGGAAGTAGATCCTACCGCCTGCCCTGGTGGAGTGGGGCCGTCCCTGCCTCCGGGCGATCGGTACAGCAGAAACGTCCACCTCAGAGGTGGAACAGAACCTGGCCCATGGGGAACACTCAGGAACACGGTAGCTGCTCTTACTAGGTAAAGCACCCAGCGAATGGAAGAACAAGGGGTAACTTTGGAGAAGGAAGAGGAGTCTGCCATTTACAGCCCTGACCTGGCATTGCTGCAGGACAGGACTGTCTCCTCAGACCTGACATGTGTCAGCCCCCAGCAGCCGGGAGGGGTGTGCTGTCATACTCCGTGTCATCTGTGGAAACACTGGGGCATAGGAAGGCTAAGTAACCACCCCAGCTCCAAGGACGAGAGCCAGGCAGCCAGCTCCTGCTCTCCACCCCTCATCCCCCACCCCACGACCCAGCCACATGCCAGGCCCGACCCGGCCTTCCAACTCAAAACCCGGTGGCAGTGTAGGACCCGTTTGCCAACACCCACCCGCGCAAGCAAAGCCCGACCTGCAGCGGCCTCTGCTAGCAAACAGCAAACACAGTGACCACCCGGACACCTGCCCACATGTGCCTACGTCCCATTGGCAGAGTGCTGTGCACCCTCGAAAAAGAATGAAGTCCTTCAGATATTTGTGGGTAAAAAGACCTACAATTTATTTTCTTAATATTTTTTATTTTTAAATTACAGTTGCCATACAACATCATATTAGTTGCAGGTGTACAACCCCATGGTTAGACATTTATGTAACTTACCAAGTGACCACCCCAATAAATCTAGCACCCATCTGACACTAAGTTATGGCAGTATTATTGCCTGCATCCCCTCTGCTGTATTTTACATCCCCGTGACTATTCTGTAACTACCACATTGTACTCCTCAGTCTCTTCACCTTGTTCATCCATCTCTCTCAACACCCCCTCCCATCTGGCAAATGTCAAAATCTACAATGTATTTAAGTGAAGAAAGCAAAGTGCCAAAAGATTATATAGTGTAAGCCAATTTTTATTTTAAAAATAATTACCTTTATATTAAAATGCATATGGGGGAAAATCTGGAAGAATATACACTAGCTAACAGTTGTTATACTTGGATGGCAGGATTATAGATGCTTCTACACTTTTGTCTCACATTTCCTTTTAAATATTAATTTTTCATTCATAAAAAACTGATGATAAAATGAACCTTGCCAATGGCTCTTCAGACACCTGTGTTTATGAAGAGGACGGGAGCCCCTTCAGATGTATGTCCAGATTTTGTGAGGAGGCACAAGGCTGGGCAGTGAGGCCAGTGACTGGGTGGAGGACAGGTGCGGAGCGCTACAGGGAACCAAGACAGGCCATGACCTTCCAGCAATGGGCAGAGGCAGCAAACCTGGCTGTCAGGAGCCGTTCAAAAACATGATTCCTGGTCCTGCCTCTGGAGGCTGATTCTAGGTGTCTTGGATGGGGCCCAAAAGTCTAGTTTGTAACCCCACCCCCAGGCCTGTCCTGCAGCCCTGCACTCATCGGGTGGTGTCCTGTCCCCAGACCCCACCGTCCTGAGACACATGCTGTATTTCCAGGCCAGGCTGGGATCTCATGGGAAGCGGTGCCTCGTCACAACCAAAAACTATTTCCCTATGAAGAGCACTCGGAGATGGCAATTCTGAAACTAATGCTCTAGGTGTATAAACTTTTTTGAAAACTACCATGAAAGTTAAGTCACCTGGGGAAAAATTTTTATCTGGGAAAAGCGGATAAAACTTCCACTGGACTTACATGTTTGAAGAATGTTAAATTCTGAATCAGGAACCACAAACTCTGTTCTAATAAAATATAAATTGTTCAAGCATGGGGCTGCCCCTTTCTGTCAGCAGTTCTGGTTTGTAAGCAAATCATCATAAATCAGAAATGAAAATTTTGGCTCAGCGATAAGCATTCCATTTGTGCAAGTAAAAACACATAAATCAAGTATGTTTCCCCCAACCTGGACAATATTCAGGACACAAGAGAGCAGATGCTGAGAAAGGCACCTATCAGGAGACAAAGACAGGGGCAAAGTGATGCTGAATAGGCCACAGGCAAATAACAAAAAGTAATAAATGGGGGGAAAGAAAAGACTCAAAGGAGAGGAAAAGAGAGAGGTGACCTGGGCCTCCAAAGAAACAACCAGGCTGAACCAGTTTCCTAGTCCACAAGTTCCTGGTCATTAAAATAACTTCATTCTAATCCCAACATTGACAGCTTGTCTGGTAAATCTACGTCTAGCTCTTTGGATGTGCCAGAGCACTGCATCCCCTGTACTACAAAGGTCACGTTAGCTTCACCTGTAGTCCTGCGGGTGCTCCCTCACGAAGTCTGAGGTCAATACCTCCTCTCCCGACTTTAAGAGGTGGGACTCGTACCGCAGTGCTCTGTAAAGGAGTCCGTAACAACAAATCCTCTCCCCTCCACCGTCCCAATCACCCCAACTCTTTTACCTTTGATAAAGCATGAAGAGCAGTGAAATGGTTTTTTCATAGATTTCCTTGACAACTTACACTGGGAACAAGCACTTAACATGGTAGACAACCTTCCCCATCTTACTGAAAATTCCATTTTTGGCCCTTTGGTTTGAGATTTCTCCATTTCTGACATGTGTTAATGTTGCTGACTGTGACAGCCCAATGCATACGACAGTCTGCTGTGTGAACACAGGCCCACAGACTGGCTCTCTGGAGGTGTTTAAACAAATCATCCTCAAAAAAAAAAAAAAATGATGACTATAGTTAGTGATGGGACTTCCAACAGATTCTGTGTGGAGTGGACCTCCCCAAACTGGAGGCTCAGAGAGAGCAGCCAGCCTGAGAAAAGCCCATCTCCCACAGAGGTGCAACTGACTGTTCGCAGCGGTGGGAAGCCATCTAGACCAGCACCAATTAAATGAAAACTTTCTTACTGCCCTCACCAACCTGTCCTAACTTGAGACTGGCAACTTATAAATAACCACAGGATTTTTTTTTTTTAATTGACCAAAATGTGAAACTGCCAGAATTTGCCTCTTGAGAAGTTTAAAGGAACGCGGGGAAATAAAATAACTTCATTCCATGGGTGGCACCTGCTTCTGTCCTTTCAACTATTGTCCACTGGGAGGCGCTGCTATAAACAGTTTGCCCAGGGACTGGGCAGCTGCTGAAGGAGGCTGGAGGAGGGAAGTGAGCCAGGTTTCTGGTAGCAGAGCCAAGAGGAGTCGACATCAGCATCAGGGTCTCCCTTTTCATGACATTCAGCACCAGCACATGCTCAGGGGAGTTCAGTCTTTGGACCAAGGAGTCATGTGTCCATAAGCAAAGGGAGAACTGTCTGTTTCCAGTTCTCATCCCAGCGAAGCTGCTTAGATTCCCGGAGGTTCTTCCGGAACTGGTTCAGTTTGCCAGAAGGATCAGGAAACTTTGAGAAAAGCATCTAGAAGAAAAAGACCAAAACTTCCCTCATCACTTTCTCCTCACCCTCCTTCTCAGCAACCTGGGCCCTTGGCACACCCCCAAACACCAGCTGCCAGGTGAGTGATTCTGAAACCCTCCCTCTGTGGCCGCACTACCACGAACAGGGTCCCGGAGCCTCCAGTGGCCTCCCTGTGCCAGCCAGCCCGGCTTCCACCCTCAGGCTGTAGAACTGGTCTCAAACATCTCTGACCCCAGCATCCCTGACCTCACAAGCCCCCTCCCTCACCAAACATTCTAGAGCCCTCACACCCCAGCCACGCTCCATCTCCTGCTCTGCTCCTACTTGACAGCTCGGCCACGCTGCAGTGTTACCCATCCATACACTGTGACCTGCAGTAGCCCCTGCCTCTGCTGTGCTGCTCCTTCCACCAAGGGCATCCACCCCTCAGTCTCTGCCCAGCACCATCCAGCCCATGGGCTGGGGACAAGGCAATGTCCGCGTTCTTTCCAGTTTTGCTAAACTAAGTCAGGTGTCTGCAAACTACAGCCTGTGGGCCAAATTTCAGCCTTCCAACTGTCTTTGTAAATAAAGTCTTACTGAAACACGGTCGCACCAGATATCTAGCTGGGCCTTTCCAGAAAGTTTGCCAGCCATGATCTCAACTGTCAAAAATACTGATATATTACTTTTTGTAATAAGAAATAAGTATCCTTTGAAGACTCCCACCTTGCAAGGCTGGTTTAGGAAGCTCCCTTCACTCCTCACTCTCCCTCCCAATATCCAGTCACTCCCTAAGTGACACACAACAGTTCACCTGTGCACCACCATCTGCATGGTGGAAGCTCCCCAAACCAGACAGCAGGTGGCGGAGACCTTAATTCCCCCGAGTCCACTGAGGCCCAGCCTCTGGGACCACTGCTCCCTCCTGTTGCCTTTCACCCAGACCCAGCACAGGCCCATTGCCACTAGGCTGCAGGAGCAAGGAGTCCGGGAGTGTGGCTCAGTGGCAGCCTCCAAACCCCGCAAGCCCTGGCATGGGGGCAGATGTGGCTACCTGCAGCTGAGCTGCCAGTTCTTCTGAGTCCTTGAAGACCAGGCCATTTTCCTCATGTTTCACAAGCTCATGTAAGCTGCAGAGACGATCGAGAGAGGACTTAGAGCTGCCTGGAGAAGAAACTAGAACCCCATGGTGCCCACCCGGACCCCGACACCACTACTCCCCACCCACAGGCTAGGCTAGGGGTTAGGAACAGTCAGTCTTGGCCCAGTGAATCTGTTCTTAGATTTGACATCTGAATAGAAAATAGGCCTGGGAAGATACACATCAAAAACCCAAACCAACTTGAGGACAGAAGGGCAGTGAATGGGGATCTGGACCTTTTCTGCTCTAGGCTCTTTCCAGTGAGAATATGCTCAGTGCGTTCTGCATCTTTTTTTTTTTTTTTCTCCTTAATCACACAGCAGAGAAACAAGGTAAAAGGCAAATGGAGGTAGACTCAGCACATTAAGGATGACTTTTCTGGGTAGCGCAGCTTGCAGAGCTCAGCTCACGCGAGGGTCTAATATCCTGATTTCCTGTTCAGAGGCTGGCCCCTCAGCCCATGAAGGGGCACTGTTCCTAGTGCCTCTTCTAACACTGCCCTCTCCAAATGCTCATCTTCACCAGGAAGAGTGGAGACAGAGAATTACACTCATCTAACTGATTTGAGTCCAAGTAAATTAGACAAAAGGGACAGAGATATAAATAAAATCATGTAAACTGTGGGCAATTCCAGCTACTACTTGGCGCACAAGCCCCAAGTTGAGTATTTAGGACACGAAGTTCTCATTCAACATGAGCTCTAAGTGGAAGCCAACACCTACAGCAGGACTCGGCCCACCCAAGAGGACTCCTACTCCCCAGGGCCACCTGGCTGAGCTTCATGGATCAGGAGATGGCGCATTTCTAAGGGGCAGCTCTGACCACACTGGGTCCCCCCAGATGCTGGTTTGAGAACCTAACTCCTAACTCTGGGAAGATTCAGTTTCCACTCCTACCACCGGAAGTTCACAGCACACACAGGCAGGCAGCATCCAAACATGTCCACCACCTTCATGGGCAGGTCCAGGCCACTGGAGGACTTGTGCAGGCACACGCCCAGGTCTGCTGACCCTGCAGGGTGAGGGGGCTGTCAGAGCACTGGCCGTGCTCCCTTTGACCACACAAGCTGCAAGGACTGTGGATCGGCACCTCTGGTGGAGAGTTAGGAGTGGAAAACACTCCCCACCCCACATACAACTGGCTGGAGTTGGCCAAGCAGCCTGGCGTAGGGCGGGGCACACGGCAGTGTCCGCTCCTGGCCACTCAGCTCTATCTGAAAACTACCTGCCTATCACTAACATTTTTATTTAAACTGACTCCCTTTTTCTATTTAACCCCAATTTGTTGTAAAAGAATCCATTGCAATTATACTTAATGGGGTCAGAGTTTCTGCTTGGGTTGATGAGACTGTTTTGGAAATAGACTGTGATGATGACGATGCAACGTCGTGAATGTAATTCATGCCACTGAATTGTATGTACGCTTAAAAATGGGAAAATAGTTATAATGGCAAACTTTGTTATAGATTATTTTATCACAATAATTAGAAAAAGAACCCACAGCAGACTCCACAGAAAACCAGCTGTCACTGTGAAAATAAAGCCAAATAAACAACTTCACATCACTAAATACTAGCTGGAAATGCGTGCCTACCACAGGCTCTGCCCAGCACTGCTTACTGGCTACTGGAAGATGAGGCCTTCGGGACATACTAGTACCAAGCCAACTCCTCCCTCCCCAGAGCAGGGAAGACAGGAAGAGAGAGGGGAGGGCCAGCACAGTTCACTGTGTCATCTCTGCACTGCCCTCCCACGTTTGGAGAACAGTGGGCCCCAACCCAGGCCCAAGCTCAATCCCAGCCCTTCTGCCTGCACAAAAGAGCAGGACTGAATGGAGGGCATGGGAGCTAAGAGGGACTCTTAGGACCCATGGGCAAACAACTCTCAAGCCCACCAGGCAGGAAGGAGCTGGCACTCCAGGAAACAGCCTCATTTCCTGCAGTTCAGCCAAAAGGTCCTCTGACAGGTTCCTGGCAGGTGGCATGTCCCTGTCCCAGGTGGCTTTTGGAGCAGGGCCCAAGGCAGGGCCCAACCCAGCCTGAGGCCTTTGTGTGTATGGCCCTTGAGCTAAGAATGGCTTTTAATTTTGAAAGGGTTGTAAAAACAAAGAATACACAACAGAGGCCAGTACTGCATTAGGTGTCTGCCAACTACAGCCTGTGGGCCAAATTGGGCCTTCCACCAGTCTTTGTAAATAAAGTCTTATTGAAACACTGTTGCACCAGATATCTAGCTGGGCCTTTCCATAAAGTTTGCCAGCCATGATCTCAACTGATTAACAGTATTAATAATCTGGCCATTTTCATAAAAAGTCCTCTCGCCCAAAAGTATTCCCTTTTAAACCTCAGCCCTCTCCCTGCAGGCCTCCTGCCTGGTGTTCTTACCTAGAAGCAGGGGGTAATCCTCAGCCTCCAGCCATGGGGTACAGACCTGGATGTGCTGGAAATGTTTCTGGTCAATGAGGCGGCTATAATACTCCTTCAGAGGCCCTTTGCCTTGCAGAGAAAATCAGAAGTCACTGTGCTGGGCCCCGCTCTGGCTCCATCCATGGCCCCAGGCCTGAGAAGCCCATCAAAGGTGTGAGCAGGAGGCCCACACTCCACAGCTGCAATCAAGCCCCCATCCGGCCCCTTCTAGAAAAAAACCCCCACCCAGGGGTGTGCACCCTGACCGCTGCGGCCATAGCAACCTGCACCCAGCAAGCTGTGGACATGGCCAGAATAAATTCTGGCTGGGCACCAGGGTGCCAGCCAGACACAACTCCTCATACAGACTGCCCCTGTGCCCGGCCAGGTGCCCCAGGTGGTGTGGCATGTGCAGGGGGCTCCTGCCGCCCTGGAAGCCCAGGGGCCAGGAGGAGGGGTGTGCGCAAGGTGGGACAGCTGGCCCAGGACCTTTCTCCCACTACAGCCCTCTACTGCTCTCCCGACTGGGCCCCTCTGGAAGCAGTTTCATGTCAGACAGTGGCCTATTTTAAAAAAAAAAAGGCCTGTAAACCACTACAGAAGTGAAAAGCTCAGTATCTCTGAGGTTGTGCTGACGCTCAAATCTAGACTCCATGCCCTGCCATGTGGTCCCTCTGAGCCTCAGTTTCCCCCTGTCAAATGGGTATAGAAAATCCTATGTTAGAGAGCGGCCATGCAGATTAAACCAAGGCACTTTACGTGCCTGACATAGGAAAAGCGCACAAGAAAGGCAGGTGCCTTCCCTGCTCTCCACGGCCCCCAAGCTAAATACAGGAACATGGAGGGTCCCAGGTGGTACCTGTTATCACACAGACCAGAGAAGGAAAACTTTCTCCATTCAGGATCAGCTGTTCATACTCTGTTTAAGAAAGTGCATACATGATAAGCAGGATCATCTAGTCAGGTGAGGGAAGGAGTGGGACAGGGGCATGGGGAGGGACACCTTCCAGACACAGGTCAGTCTCCCAGAGGTGGTACTTCAGATCTAAGGCCTGGTCACTCAATGACCCAATGGGGACTCAGAGCCGCCCCGTCCACCACCCGAGCGCTCAGGCTAGCCCACCCTGCAGCCCCGGGGGCAGGAACACTCTGCAGAGAACACCACACATGGCTCAGTGAGCATCTCACAGCTCAGCAGCCCCTGACAAGCCCAGCTCCTGATCACAGCCACACACCTACTTTCTAATGCTGCCAGCAAGATGGAGAAATCTTCATCCTCTACAAGAAAAAAGAGCTACTTGTCATGGCTGGTTTCTAGATGCTTCCCTGCCCAGCCCCATGGCCTCCCCTTCCTGATCAGGACCTTAGGGTGCACCAAATACATGCGGGACACAGGCCTAACAGGGATGAGAATGCAGGTTCAGGCTAATGCTTGTACAAGCCCCAAGTGCCCAGAAGGGTCCTGAGACCTGTCCAGCTCGTGCTGCTGACCAACAGAGCCGGCCGCCCACGAAGACGTGTCACCATCCCGCTTCCGGCATCCTGCTCTGTGAAGGCTGACCTCTCCGTGGCCAGGTCCAAGGGTTCTGGGCTGAAGGAGCAGAGACAGAGCCTGTGAGATGCCACAGAGCAGGCCCACAGGCCCCAGGATGGCCGTCTCCCACCACAGTGAGGCCCAGAGGCTCCCCAAGGTCAGGGTATGGCCATGTCAGAACCACCAAATTGCCCTGGCTGGTGTGGCTCAGTGGATTGAGTCGACCTGCAGTCTGAAAGGTTGCCAGTTCGATTCCAAGTCAGGGCACGTGCCTGGGTTGCGGGCCAGGTCCTCAATTGGGAGAGAGACGCAACCAATCGCTCTTTCTCTTGCACATCGTTTCTCTCCCTCTCTTTACCCCTCCTTTCCCCTCTCTCTAAAAATAAATAAAATCTAAAAAAAAAAAAAAAAGAAACACCAAGTTCACCCTACTACCCTAGACCTGGGCACAGATTGTGCCTTGCTTCCTTTATCAATATCTATCTGTTGCTAGGTCACAACAGCAGACAAGACGGACTCAGCCCCTGCTTTCACCAGCGTACCACTCTTATCATTCCCTCATCTTAGGATGAGGATGCTCTGACCTCCCAACTGGCTGCCAGGCTACTGAAAGTAGCAAACAACTGGTGTATGAAGAGCTACTCAAAGGGGCTTAGATCTGTGAGATACCCTACAGAACACACAGGTCCACAGACCCCACCATAGGGTCAGGAACCTGCACTCAGGAGGGAAAAGATGACCACAGCCTTGTGCAGGACAAAGATTTCCTTAAGTGGCCAGAGAATAAATACTTTAGGCTTTGGGGGCCTTTTGATCTCTTTGACAAAAACTCAGCTCTGCTGTTGTGGTATGAAAGCAGCCATGGACAATGCATAAATGAGTGAACATGCTGCATTCCAATAAAACTTTATTTATGAACAGGCAGTGAGCCTGCAGCCATAGTTAGCCAAACTGTGGATTAGTGGATTCGCAGGTCTGCAGCGAAGAGACAGGAGAGAAGCCAGGACAGCAGCAAACACAAGAGAGGATGGAAGACAGGAGACCTACCTGGCCCTGAATGCAGAGTAGGTGCGGCCCAGCTTCATAAAGAGCCGGTGTTGCAGGTCCAAGGGCGTCTCTTTAAAGAAAGATGCTGGCTTGTCATAGACAGTCACAGCTCTGCAATGAGATCATTGGGGGGCTCTAGGAGGAGTGGAAAATGGCCTAAGGAATAGAAGGAACAGGAGGATCTGGAAAAAGGGCACTTGGGGGATTCATATTTCAGAAAATAACAAGTTAAGAAATACTTAGGGAAGCACAGAGAGGTCTAACATCAAAACTGCCTGGGCCATGTGACTGGCTGGGAAAGAAACTCCAGCCTCCTCCTCCCTCAGCTTCCCATCTCCCAGGCCCCGGATATTTCCAGATGCCTCGCCAACAAGGCACAGCAGGCACTGCAGCTGGGACCACCCATGCTGGGACCCTTTACCCCCAACCCCCAGGTCCCTACTTGATGCCCCAGTTCTCTGCCAGGTCTTCCCGCATCTCATTGGTCACGCACAGGTTCAGGTGGGAGAGGCGCCCACAAAGTTTCTCATACCTGAAAAGACATATCATTGGTCAGCCTGGGGTTCTGAGCCAGGGCCCATGACCATAACCTTCCACCTGAAACCTTCCAATACAGAAAAGGCTGCAGACTGGGCTCTCCCAAATCAAGTCACTGGCAAGGCAGCTTACCAGGGTTTGTACTATCTGAGTTCCACCTGTGCTATTATTTCTTTCACGCCTTCCTTTACATTGTATCACTTTTATCACTACAGAAGGGGAACTGCAGTCCCTCTTGCCATAAAAAGAAGAAACATAATGAAGCTGCCATTACTAAATTTTAGCCACACTCCATTGTTCCCTGCAAAGGCAGTGAGGCTGAGGATGCTTCCAACGTGTTACCAAGGGAGTTTAGCAAATGTTAGAGAGGCATTAACAACAGATTATCTCCAAACTGACTTGCGACCTGATGACAGGGCAGAACTGAACGCGAACTGGAAAAGGGGAAGGAGCAACTCCAGATTAACAGCGTTGGTGTACCATGGCTTGTTCCTAACTCAGGATGCAAAACAAGCTCCATAACTGGATGGCCTGCGACTGACTTTCGGTCCTCCCACTTATTAGCTGTGTATCAAGAAACAATGGTTCTCAGCCTCAGTTTCCTGGCTTGTAAAATGGGGGCAATGTAGACTAAATGAGATAAAGGGCTTGGCCTGATCCTGGCATACAGCAGCAAGTGCTCAGTATGTTGCTGCTCCCATTGCTGTTACTGCCATCAAGGAATGGCCCATCAGGGGAAAGGCCGCAGCTGACGCCTTGAGGTGGCAAGCCCCCACCGAGGCCGCTGTTATACACTGCTGAGGCTCAGAACAGACCAACGCTTCCTGCTCCAGGTCAAACCTGCCACCACACGCCCTCCTTCCCTCTCCCTACCTCACCCGCTGCATGTCCGTATCTTCCAGCAGCAGCCCCAGTTTTTATTTGGGGATCTGGTCTGGGTACACCTGGACCCCAGCTCTTGCAGTGGAGCACTTGTCCCAAGCCTGAGACAATGGGATACTACAGCTCCCAGTGTCAGTGGGAAGGTCACAGGGTGGCAGGTAAGCAGGTGCCAATCAGAGGCTCACTCTCTCTACTGAGCTTGACAGGATGAGGCTAAAAGCAAGGGGAACGCCCCGAATCTGGGAAATAACTCCAAGAGGGAATGAAGAAAGAGAGATGAGAGGGGTCCTGATGACACCCTTTTTGAACTCAAAGTCAGCCATTTCTCTGGCGTTTTCTGTTTCATGAGCCAACCAACAGCCTCCTGCTCTGAATGGTGTGGCTCAGTGAGTTGAGCATCGTCCTGCAGACCAAAATGTCACGGGTTCAATTCCCAGTCAGGGCATATGCCTGGGTCATGAGCCTGGTCCCCAGCTGGGGTGCATGCAGAAGTGGCCAATCAATGCTTCTCTCCTTCTCTTTCTCCCTCTCTTCCCCTCTGTCTAAAAAATAAATTAAATGGTTTTTTTAAAAAATAGACACCCTCCTTTTCTTGGGCCTGTTTCCATCACTTTTAACCAGCATTAGCCCAATTCCCCAGCCTAGCCCTTACCTCACAGAGAATACAAGGAACCAGCTTCACTGAGTCTCTGCACAGACCCTTCTTCCTACCATAGTTTAGGGAAGGTGTCTGAACCATCCTCCCAGACTCTTACCACTTGGCCAGTAGAACAAGGTGGTGGTTGGGGCCATGCACCAGACCCATAATGGAGTAGCCATAGTTGTGCCAGTCAATGACGAGCTTGCTCCCACAGAGGCAGCCCACAAACCAGCAGACAGCAATGGCAGGCAGGCCCGGGGGGTTCTGGGAAAAAGAGAGACTTGAATGAAGAGGAGGAAATCAGACCATCACTGACACAAAAGAAACAACCTGAGAAGTCCAAGATCGTCAATAATCAAGGAGACAAAAAATGGAACAAGGAGGTACATTAAGTTATGTGGAAAATAAAACAGCTAACAACAGCCAGTGGTGGTGCAAATGTGGAGGAAGAGGCATCCCATCCCCTTGGGTGGAGGAAAAATTGGCCCAGACTTACTCTAGGACTCTCCAGTAGCACACAACATTTTCAAGTGCATGAGTTTTGACAAGCACTTCCATTCCTATGAATTTATCCCAAGAAAAAGACACACACACACACACACACACACACACACACACAAATATGTTCACTGATGCTCTTTGCCACACTATTTGTAAAAGTAAAAAAAATAAGAATCTGAGTGTCTATTAAGATAAGACTAAATAAATACATTAGGGTACATCAGCCAATTAAAAGAAGGTACTTCTATACGTTAAAAAGTGAAGGGAAGAGGTTAAGAGCTTAACTCTAGAACCAGGCTGACTACTTAGGTTCAAATCCTGCGTCTAGCCCTTCTTAGCTGTGTGACAATGAGCTACTTACTGAGTTTCTCTGGGTGTAGGTCACCTCATTTCCAAAATCTAAGTAATATAAGAACCTACTTCTTAGGATTGTTGTGAGTGATTAAATGAGTTAATACATGTAAAACACTTAGATATAATAAGTACAGTGTAAGATTTATCTGTAATGACATAGAAAAATAGACTAGATGGGTACTATAAGTAGAATGGACACATACCATAGGCTCCTACTCATGTTCTTAAAAGTTTATACATGCACACATATATATGCAATTTATTTACCAACTTGTACATTGTTAAAGGCTGGAAAGAAAACTGTTAACAGTGATTCTCATGGAAAGAAGCAGGGCTGACATACACCTGGAGAAAGATGTAGGTTGCCGGTTCCCTGCACATCAACTTCCACAGCAAGTGCACCGCCTGAAATACAACTTTGACTCCATATTGAAGAACGTGTGGCCCAACTGCAAGTCAGAAAAACAGCTGTCACTTCCAAAGGAGTTCTTGGCAATTTGCAGACCGCCCCCCCCCCCGCCCCAACACACACACACCCCAATTCAGAGGAATCTGGAGTTGACTGCATCCTACCTGCAAGTCTCTGAAGTTCTGTCAAAGGCACAATCCGAATTCTGTTGCTGTGTAAGAGTTCATCGTGGGGTTTGGAGTCTGAAAAGAATGTCCCCTTTAATGAACTAGATAGGACAATCTAATTTAAAGTCAGATGACCCGCCAGCTCAGGCAAAACAGTGGAGAGTATTTTGGAATATCGGATTTTTCCAAACAGCTCTGTTCCTCAACAGCCAGAACAGAGAAGGAGGCCAATTCTTGTCCAGATTCCACTAGACTGACCCCAGAGGGAGGGCCCGAATCTTAACCACCTTTACATAATACAATGCCTGGCACACAGTAGGCCCTCAAACTGATCTAGATTCCTTGGATAGTGGAATTATCCCACCACAGGGAGAACCCTCTAATGACCCACTCCGCCCCCTCACCCTGGGACAGGAGCCTCTAAACAGGGACCCAAGGCAAAGAGTGTTATTACTGCTTTTCCCTGACATGAAACTGAGCTACTCTTTATCTAAAGATGTTAACATGGTGGAAGATGGAAGAACAGACACGGAGCAAAAAAGCTGGACATGCGGCGCAACTGAAAAAACATCTGCTGCTTGCAGAGCTCTGCATAAGAGTAATGCAGAGACAAGCGGCCTGTCCCTCCTCAGACACAGCCTGACAAGGGTAGCCTCAGGAGTGCCATTACCAGTACTCGCCCTGGAGTCACAAGCACGTGGGTTCCGGCCTGTCTTTCCACTTCCTAGGAAGACTGAAACTAAACACTGAGTTCATTTAGCTTATCACTGTCCTGGCATATGGCAGGCGCTCGATCTAGAGACGCACCCCCAGAGACTGGACAGAAACCTAGCAACAGCGGTTCAGACCAGAAATGGGCTCGTCCAATCTCGAAGAACTGCCCGAAGGAGGAGATAGAAAAGAGGTGTCCTCCCCGCACCCCCGGGTCCTATGGAGTAATCAAAGTTGGGAGCGCTGCCTCCTTCCCAGATCCCCAGCACTCACTGCAGAACCCAAGAAGGGTCACGGAGAAGCCACGCTCAGCCAATGACAGCGCGTGGTACTGCATTCGGGGGCTGCGCCCCACATCGCCCAGCACCACGATGGCCACGTGCTGAGCCGTACGCCCCCGCCGCCAGCGCTTCCACGCGATCAGCAGCAGCAGTGGGAAGCATATGGACAGCGCCAACAGTGCCACAGAAGAGGCAGCCATCTTGCCGGGGAGGCTTCAGTCACGTGACCGCGTGTCTCTCCGCCTCCCGCCCCCGCCCCCCTCTCCCCCGGGAGGGCTGGCTGGCTGTGCGCAGCCGCAAGTCGGTCCCGCACTGGGGCGGAGAGAAGTCAGGTGAGGGCGTGGTGGCCCAAGTGGTGGCCCTTGGAGCCCATGAAGAGTGCCTGAGGGCCAACAATTAGTCGTATTAAGTAAGGTAAAGCTTTTACCATGTGGGGATCTAGGAGCACTTTATATCATAGTTCTAAGATAACTTCAAAATGTAGTGAAAGAACAATTTGGATGAATCTCATAAACATATTGTTGAGAAGACAGGCCAGACGCAAAAGAGTTAATGCTGGCTGGTTCCATATATACCAAATGAAAATTAATCTTTGATCTTTCCGGCTCTCAGTATGACCAGCCTGAGGTGCTTCTGGAAGTTAACATCGCGACGGTTGCCCAGGGACAACCCCAAGTTCAGCTGGTGATGATCAGATTGGGGAAACTAGAGTCGTGAAACATTATCTGGTGAATTTGAGAAGTTTGTAGCCACCTTGGTTGTTGAAGTCCATCCCCTCCTGTTTCACACGAACAGAGTGCCTGTCAAGTTCAGTGGGTGGGATGCATCTAGTAGGCAGGAGAAGTTCCATGGACTGAGAGATGTCTATTGCATCCAAGCCCAGTGTGCTGTTATAATGTTTGCTGTAACTTGGAGAGTTACTTATGAGAATGTGCCTAACTGACATAGAGATCTGGTATGAGTACGGGAAAACATCCCCATCGTGTGTGTGGCATATTAAGGACAGGAAAGGCAAAATCAATCATCTTCCACCAAAGGAAGAATGTCCAGTACTATGATATTTCTGCCAAAAGTAACTACCACTCTGAAAAGCCCTTCCTCTGGCTTGCTAGAAAACTCATTAGAGACCCCAACTTCGAGTTTGTCACCTAGGCTGCTCTTGTGCCACCAGAGGTTGTCAGGGACCCAGCTTTGGCAGCACAGGGTGAGCACAATCTAGAGGTCCCCCAGGCCACGGCTCTCCTGGATGAGGATGATGCCCTGTGAGGAAGGGAAGCTGGAGCCCAGCATAGTCAGAAGTCTAGTTTTATAGACAGCTGTGATGTCAGTGGTGCAGCGTGTTTGCCACTTTCTTACATAGCTAAGCAGAAGTGGGCTTGCTTTTTGGGTGCTGAAGGAGGTGAATGGACTTCAGAGTGAATGTAGCAGTTAAAAAAATACCTTCATTTTTTTTGGACCAGCGTATTTAGCTGTTTTGGAATACAGTTTTTCCTTGAGTTGCAAATATAAAACTGCTGCAGTCATGTTACAATACTCAGTGGTGAAACCTTGTATATTTTACTCATTCCCATTGCTTTCGTTTAAAATCAGAATAAAGTTGGTTTTCAAATATCTTTTTTAAAAAAACATAACATTTGCCATTAGAATGACCTGCTTGGGGACTCAGGAAGTGAGTGGGAGGGGGCCAATAGGGAGCTGGGGTGCGGTGGGGGGCAGCCATGTTCTCTTTCTTGGTCTAGGGGTTCCTAATATAGTGTGTTCCATTTGGGAAAATTCATCTAGCAGCGAACGTACTCGTTTTTTATGATGTGTGTTGTACTTGAGTAGAATATTTAAAATATAAAAATAAAGGGAAGAGAAAGGGACAAAGAAAATAAAAACCATAATTATTTTAAGTATCCGTAGTATTGAGGGAAAATTTCCCCCCGATCCCCCAATTTCACCTCCCAAAATAGCCACACGACAGAGTTTAGTGTGTGTCCATGTGACAGCTTTTTGACTTTGAAAGGGGTCCCCTTGCTGACAAACATTGAGAACATGTTGGTGAGGCCACCCCCACTACCCCTACCTTAGGAGCTGCCTCAGAACCTGCAGAGCATCCAGCACAGCCACCAGCCACCCTCAGACCTGCCTCACCCAGTTACACATGCCACAAGGAAATAAGAACCTGGATAGCTTAGTGCCCACTGGACAGGGCTGATGTGTTTTTGCAGCTCTTGGCACATTTCTTATTTGATTCTCACGGTAGCCCTATGACTCCTCTTTTTACAGATAAGGACACTGAAGGTCACACCATTAATGAGTGCACGGCAGAGGCAGGGCTTGAAACCTGAGCTGAAGAAGGGGAGGAAGGATGAGTAATAGATACAGATGGGAGGGATGGGCAGACAGACACTGTGGGCAACCTCATTATTCCCTCAGTTACCAGCGAGGCTCCTGCCTTTATATGCGTGTCCTGCCCACCCTGTCCCCTGTCTTTTGTGGGACAGGGCTGAGATCTAGAAACCTCAGCTTCATGGGTTCCTCGATCTTGAACAAGTCACTTATGATCAATTGGCTTTCCTTATCTGTAAATTAAAGGAAGGAACTTCATATCCCAGAACCCCTCTTGTTCTGATAACCTAAGAGGATAAGGACCAGGCACCATGGTTTTGACAAACTGAGAGTAAACACCTAGCTATGCAAGATGAAACCCCAATTGGAAAAGAAGTTGAGAACTTTTTCTCTAGGAAAAGAGGAACAAGGTGCCTGTCAGCCAGCCCTTCTTATCCTGTTTTCCTGTTAATATTCATCACACGTGAAATTCAGTCCTTCCAAAGGTCAGAAGGCTATTGTTTCCCCTTCCAGATATGGGAGGTGGACCCTGGCAGGATTACCTGATGCTGAAGATGTCAACTCAGGAACGGGTATCCCTGTACCACTTGATATGAGCTATGAGAGAGAGGGTCACAATAAGTCACTGCCCTGACTGGTGTGGCTCAGTGGTTTGGATGTCATCCCACAAACCAAAAGGTCACCAGTATAATTCCTGGTCAGGGCATATGCCTGAGTCTCAGGTCAAGTCCCATGTTGGGGGCGTGCAAGAGGCAACCTATTGGTGTTTCTCTCCCACATCAATATTTCTCCCTCTCTTTCTCCCTCCCTTCCCTTCTTTCTAAAAATAAGTAAATAGTCCTGCTGACGATGAGGCTGATGAGGCTCAGTGGATTGAGTACTGAATGGTTCCTGGTTCAGGTTGCTGGTTCAATTCCCCAGTCAAGGCTAGGTTCCTGGGTTGTGGGCCAGGTTCCCAGTTGGGGCAACTGATAGATGTGCCTCTCCCACATCGATGTTGCTCTCCCTCTTTTTCTCCCTCCTTTCCCCTCTCTCTAAAAATAACAAGTAAAATATTTTTAAAAATAAAAACAAATAAATAAAATCTTTTTAAAAAGAAATAACAGCTTTAAAAATAAAAATAAGCCACTTACCCCCCTCAGAGCCAAAGAAATGATGATAATGACAAGCTTTCCCTGGAACATTCATTCGCAATGGCACACTCAACAGGGCAAAAATGGTTCTTGGGGAGCAAAGAAAAACCTGCAGCTTTATGTAAAAAGCCCGGGTACATACAGCTCATAAACAAATATACAGTATATCTGCAGTATTAAAATTTCATAGGAGTTTCACACAAAAACTTGTGCATGAGGAGCCCTCATACATCACTGGCAGGAATGTAAAATGCTGCCACTGTGGAAAATAATTGGCAGTGCCTCAATAGTTAAACATAAAACATGCTGTATGACCCAGCAATTGCTCCTAGGTATACACCCAAGAGAACTGAAGGAGGTTTTCAAACAAAAACATATAAATGAATGTTTATATCAACATTATCCACAATGACAGGTGGAAACAACTCAAATGTCCATCAACTGACGAATGGATAAAATGTGATTCATCCACACAGTGGAATAACAGCCACAAAAAAGGAATGAAATACTGATGCATGTTTCAGCGTGGATGAAATTGAAAATGTTATGCTGACAATACCTCAAACTCTGTCTTTCCAACTTGGGCCCAGCATAATGGCTCCCGCAAAGAAGAGTGGCGAAAATTAAGAAGGGCCCTTCTGCCATTAACGAGGCAGTGACCAGAGAGTACACCATCAACATTCACAAGCGCATCCATAGAGTGGGTTTCAAGAAGCATGCCCCTTGGGCACTTAAAGAGACCCAGAAGTTTGCCATGAAGGAGATGGGAACTCCAGATGCGCGCATTGACATCGGGGTCAACAAAGCTGTCTGGCCAAAGGAATAAAAAATGCCCCATACTGTATCCGGATGCAGTTGTCCAGAAAATATAATGAGGATGAAGATCCACCAAACTGTGTACTTGGGCCACATACATACTTGTCACCACTTTCAAAAATCTACAGAGAGTTAACGTGGATGAGGACTAACTGCTGATTGTCGAATAAAATTATAAAACTGCCACACACAAAAAGACAGAAAACAATGTGCTAAATGAATGAAGTCAGACACAAAAGGTCACATATTGTATGATTCTGTTTCATGCAGTGTCCAGAATAGACAAACCCATAGAAAGGGGAAGTAGATTAGCGGTTTGTCAGGGGCTGGAGGGCTGAGGGGGTGGGAGGAATGAGGAGTGACTGCTGATGGGCATGGAGTTTCCTTGGGGATTGATGAAGACATTCAAAAGTAAGACACCGGTGGTGGTTGCACCACTTTGTGAATATACTTTCAAATTCACTGCCAGTCCAGTTTAAATGGGTGAATTTTATGGTATGTGAATTATATCTCAATAAATTTATTATTCTTCAATGTTCAGGAAAAAAGCATCTAAAAAGGCTGGGCATTGGAGATGTGGGGAAGGGCAAGAATGAAATAAAAAGGTTGAAAAATCCCTTACCGAGAGACTGCCTACAAGGAGCATCAGCGGCACATTTGTGCAGTGATATTTTTATTATTTTTACAGACCTATAATCTCTTAACTGAAGCCCTGGAACCAGGTATGTTTCTGAACTCAGAATTTTTTGAGTTTTAGAAATGTAATATGGAGTGCATACAGGTGACAGGCAAATTTTGGGATAGCACCCAGTAAACCACACTGAAACTTCCACAGGGAAACAAGCATGCTTTCACACTGAGTGAGCTACCTCAGCGCTCTACGGCCTCACCGTCCAATACAGAAGTACAGGTGGCTCTCAGACTCTTGAAATGCAGCGAGCCAGAGTTGAAATGTGCCCTGAGTATAAACACCACCCCCCCAGATTTCAAAGACTTCATATGAGGAAAAAATATTTTAAAAAGAATGTAAAAATTAATCATTTTTATTGATTACAAGTTGAAAAGGTAATATTTTGGATCTACTAGATTAAATAAAATGGATCACTAAAATTCATTTCACCTGCTTCTCAGCTTTTTTTAAAGATTTTATTTATTTACTTTTAGAGGGGGGGAAGGAAGGGAGAAAAAGATGGAGAGAAACATCAGCGTGTGAGAGAGACATCGATCAGTTACCTGTCACACAGGCCCCAGTCAAGACCTGGCCCACAACCCAGGCACGTGCCCTGACTGGGAATCAAACTGGTGACCTTCGGTTCACTGGCCAGCACTGAATCTACTGAGCCACACCAGCCAGGGGTGCTTCTCCATTTTTTTTTTAATGTAGCTACTAGAAAATTTGGAAGTGACCATGTGGCTTATTTTTGTGGCTCATGTTCTGTTTCTACTTGATAGGTGCTGCCCTAAGAAATCTTCCAGTCATCTGGGCAGGTGTGCCCTCAAATGAGTTTGTTCCAAACTTATTTAAAAAATAACAAAACTTTGCATGTCAGTGCTTTGGGATTTCTGCATTGTAACTGCAATTGCTAGATCAAAGATGTAGCCTGTGGGCCTGGAGAATCAGGTGAAAAGGAAAGGGTGGGAGCTCTTCTCTCCAGCCCTGGGCCAGCTGGCTCCACTTACAGGCCTGGCCAGACTGATGCCCCTCCCCGTGCCCCCGTCCTCCCCTGCAGCCAGTCCCCTGCAGCTGCCCTTCCCAGAACCCTCTGTCCAGGCCACCCCAGCTACTGGATCAGCCCTGCCCAGCCACTTCTCTGCAGCTCTTCAGGGGGAAGGGGAGGAGGAGGCAGGAAGAGGTGGGTGGGGGTGGGTTGGCCTCGGCTCAAGCGCTCCACCAGCCTCAAGCAGAAACCAGCCATGTCCAGCCTGGGGTTCCTGCTCCTGCTCTTGCTGCTGGCGCCACCACCGCTGTGGTCCTCCTCATTGCCACCGCTGGACACCCCAGAGGGCAAAGCTACCATCGCGGGCCTCATCCTCTCAGCACTAGAGAGAGCCACCACCTACTTGAAGAAGAGGCTACCCGAAATCAACCTGGATGGCGTGGTGGGGTTCCGGGTGCTGGAAGGTGGGTGCGCTCTCCTTCCCCTGGACTGGCCATCGGGAAAACCTGTTCTCAGTTCACCTGCCTGCTGTGAACCTCTGGGACCTGGCCACCTTCTGGTTTGACTATAAGGAAAGAGGGATGGGGGTGACTTGCTTCTTTTGGGTGGTTGGGGGCCCTGCTGTTATCACATTTTTTAGAAGCAGGACAGATTGAAAGGCCACATGAGAAAAGATTAGGAAATTATTATTTCCCAGGAGGGAATGATCCATTTGACGGTTCTTCCCCCTTGACATGCCACGAACAAAGGTGGGCAGAGGCTGTGTGCCCTTTGAAGGAGTATTTATGGGAGGGTGGCCATGGAAAAAAACGGGGACCCCAAGGCCATCCCAGCCCCAGTTCCGCCTACTTCCAGCCAAAGCCACCTGGAGGCTCTGAGAAAAGAGCCAAGTGTTTGTTCAGCTTTGAAAAATATAAGATCCCCAAGGAGGGGACTGGAGACAGGCCAAGGCAAACAGGGAGCCACACCTCTCTCTCTCTCTCTCTCTCTCTCTCTCTCACACACACACACACACACACACACACACACACACACACACGCCCCTCCCCACAGGCCACCCTAAGTGACAAAGAGCTGATTGGGTGTCAGCCTGGGGCTTTGCCTGGCCCGCTCCCAAACAGCCCCCCCAGCACCCCCCCAGCCCCCGCATTGCCAGTGTGGCTTTCAGCCCACCAGGAATCAAGGTCCCCGCAGGAAGAGGGGCTCTGGGACAGAGACAACTCCTTTCTTTCTGGCCACCCCCATTCTCTCCTACCACTGCAGGGCCGCTGCTGGTCTGTCCGAAAGGCACCTTTGTGAGATTAGAAAAAGGCTCCCCCTTACTCAAGTCACTTGACTGCCATCTGCTGGAAATTGTCTTAATCCATATACAAATCCCATGACAAGAATGTGTGTTGTCCTTTTACAACTTGCTCAACTGTATGTGGTTCTTCCCCTGCAATCTGAATCCCTCCTTTGTTTTTCTCTCCTGTATAACAACCCTAAGTCTCCTGAATTATCGCTAATAACTACATTCTATTAAGTGCTTACTTGCACTATGGACCGTGCTAAGTCCTCTCATGCGTTAGTTAGCTCAAGGAATCTTTTTTTTTTTTTTTTTCAAATTAAAAGAAACAGTTTATTTAGAAAGTTACAGAGATAGTAGAAGTGAGCCTGCTGGGCTGCGTAGGCTCAGAAGACAAGTTATAGAAGCAAAAGAAGGGCTTGTGGAGGTTAGGAGAAGGGCAAAGGTAAGACACCTGGGAGGGAGAAGAGGGGGAAGGGGAAGGCATGGCATGCTCCCGAGAGGGAGCGCGCACCTCAATTAACCCTTATGAGCCCCTCCTTGAAGAAGTATGGACTATCATCATCCCCACTTTACAGATGAAGAAACTGAAGTGGAGGGAAATTAAATAACTCTCTAATTACCCAACAAAAAGCATGAGAGTCAGAATTTGGACCCAGCCCATCCCCATATATCTTAGCTGCCCACAACCTTCTCACTCTGGTCCCATTCCCGTCACCAAGCTGAGCCCCGTGAAGGCCTAATTTCCAATAAGCTCAGCGAATTCTTTCTCCTCAGGAGCTGGAGGAGGCAGAGAGGCTCAGTAAGCGCTGTATCTTAGGACCTTTTTTCCTATCCACATGGCTTGTCTGATGGTGCAATGGGTGCACTCTGTTCCCTCCCAGAGCAGCTAAATGGCATTCAGGAGGAGTGGGCCCAGGACCCCCAGCTGCAGCCGCACAGCCTGCGCATGGGGAAGCTGGCGCAGAAGCTGGCACCTCTCCTCCACAGATCCATTTTCTACCTCAAGCTGAGTGACCCCCAGTACCTAAGAGGTAATGGCATGGGGTGGAGTCCCATTTCTTCAGGAATACAGCCTCTGGGGACATTTGCTGAAATAACCTAGTGTAGCCCTCTGATGCAAAGGGAGGATCCAGGACTGCTTGTAACAGTAACCAACTCAGTCCTGTGGGCCAAGTGCACCTCAGGCTGACCCGGGGGAATATCTGTTCATCCCTGACCTCAGACTGACATGATCTCTCCCACCCACATAGAGGGGGTGGAAAGGAGGGAACGTGTGGCCTCTCATTTGTTCAACTTGTATCCAGGCTTAGAGACCTTCATCCTAAACCAAAAGGGACAGGGGGGGGGCGGGGGGGGCGGGGGGGCGGGGGTGGAATCTAAGTGGTAATTCATCCCTTTGCACAGCAAATTAACTAGAGTCTCTCTTGTGCCTTGTAAAGCTAAAAGATTGTTCTCCTCGTCTGCCTTGAGTTACCGACCCTACCAAGGGCCCCATCCTGCAAGCCTGGCCTGAATTGTTCAAGGGGTGGGGACTAGGGGTTATAAAACCAGCCCATCCTGCTCATCTGATCCTGTCTCCCAGGCTCATGACTTAGGTCAGGCCCCACTTCACGTGCCCACAGCCCAGCCCTCCCTACCCTGGTCTGGCTCTCCGCAGTGGAGGTCCTGCACCCTCTCCCCGGTTCGGTCCCCAAGTCCCTCACAGCTCACATCGTCCTAAAGAAGCCCCTTGACTGGGTATCTCTCTTGTAAGAGCTTCACTTTCTAACCAGACTGAAGAAACCAACTAACCCTTTTTATACATCTCAGGTTTCCACAGATGCAGTGGATTTAGCCAAAACCGGTCCCAACATTATTCTATTAATTTTTTTAATAGTTTTTGTTTTGTTTAGAAAAAGAGCCTCTTGAGTGTTTCAGAAGCAATGCCCAACCAGCAAGCGAGCCTTAGGGCCCTGAGCAGACGACCGTGTGTGGTCAGGGTTGCCCAGGGAGAAGCCCAGGGAGATTCGAAGGTGAAGTAGCCGTTTAGCTATTATCTCTTCCTGGGGAGGGGACACCATCACCTAGCTCCTTGGCTCTGAGCCACAGGAGCCCGGCCGGGGCGGGCAGCAGGGCTGGGGTAAGCATAGCGTGGCCCACTGCTCCTGGGGCTCTTCCCCACCCCTTCTTTTGGCCAGAGTTCCAGCCCACCATCCAGCCCGGATTTTGGAAGCTCCCACACGTCTGGACACACACCAACGCATCCATGGTGTATCCCACGCTCGAACCCCAGGACTTCTCAGAGGAACAAAGTGACTTGTGCCTGGCACAGCTGTTGGGAACTAGGTGGGCTCCCTGTACTTGCCCTGATTCCCAAAAACCCAAAAGCTCTTTCTTTCCTCCAGTCCCTCTGCTCAACTAACTCTCCAAGTCCCCAAGGGTTTCCACAAAATCAGCTTCCCCAGAGCCACCCTGACACTGCCCTCTCCCAGCCCCAGCACCTGGGAGTTAGCTCCAGCTCTCCACCCAAGGCTGCCTGCCTAGTCCAGCCGACGCCCCACCTCTGCACTCCCACCCTCACCTCCCGACTGGTCCCCCTGCTCCAGAGCGATCTTGTCAAAAACCACACCTGAGCACCGCACATCCAGTGTAAGGCTTCCTGCTGTTCTCAGGACAAAGCCCTCCATCCTACTGCCCTTCCAGATCCCCAGGCCCCTCTGTTCCAACCCTGAGGGGCGCTCTCCAACTATAAGCCCATCTCTTTGCCAAGAATATGCTACTATGGGGCCTCATCCTGCCCCCCCCCCCCGCCTAAGTAACTGCTCACAGTTGAGGACTAGCTCCTGCATCCTTCCTCCAGAACCTCCCTGGCCCCACTGCACGAGGCTGACTTCCCTGTTAGGAGATGGGCTGCCTCTCCTAACACCACCGGTAGCCACAGGTGCAAGATACGCTTGTTTTATGGTTCTGTTTCCCACACCCGGCTGTACATCTGGAAAGCAGGACCCAAGCCTAGTTGAGCTCCCCATTTTATCCTGCTGAGCTGTGGTCTTAGAACATATTCCCCAGGGCAACCCTAGATGCAGGGACCCATGGGCAGAGGGGCAGCAGGCACTCAAGCCCCCATTATCTTAACATCCTTCAGAGAGGCGTTTACGTCAGGACACAGCTGGGCTCATAGAGGGTCTGCCCTCCATCTAGTGAGGGACCCACCCTTGTTGCCCCATCCCTTTTATGGGTGCAGGGGGAATGGTCATGCTGGGCCCAGACCCCAAGCTGTCTGGACTCAGAGTTCCCATGGAGCAATGGGAAGTTGCAGCCCCAGTGGCTCCTCCAACCCAAGATAGCTGCAGGTCACCTCCCTATGCCAGGGGTGCCAGTTTAGCCAAGCAAAACACAGACACCTGTGCTTTATCCAGGAGTCCCTTGTGTCCAACTGGGTGCCTGGAACCTACTAGGTTCTAATAACTAGTAGGGGAAGAGAGATGAGGGGAGGCTCCAGGCCTCTGGGCTTCCTTGAGGACACCCTTCACAGCCTGGAACCGCCTCTCCTCCAGCACGGACAGCAACCAGCCCTGCGGACTCTCCGAATTCTGCAGGACCCTGATGACCAAGCCTGGCTGCTCAGGCTACTACCTGTCCCACCAGCTGCTCTTCTTCCTTTTGGCCAGAATGGTGAGTGGCCGGTGGAGTGGAGGAGGGGAAGGAAGACAAAAGGAGCTCTTGGTGGTGTGGTTTTGTACGCTACACACTGGGAAAATAAGCAGGTTTGGGGACTTGTGCTTTGGGCATCAGGAAGGGGGAGTGAGAGTAGCCTGCCATCCACTGGCTGTCAAATCTAACCAAACTGGGTGGGGGGTGTGGCTTCGGGATTCTGTTGGACGCAGAGCTTCACCTGCTGAACTGGATCACAGGGCATCAGAAAACAAAAACGGAGTCAAAGAGAAGCAGCAGAAAGAACTTAGCAAATACCAACAAATGGAAAAGGACTTAGAATAAAGTTGATAGCTGCTTCCAGGAGACCAAATCAAGACCAAACAAGCCCCACCCTATCTCCAGTGGCCAAAGCTCTTCCAAGCCCAAGAGCTCAAACTTTGCTAAATGATAATGATGATCATTTAAAAACATCCATATTTGTTTACATAGAAAGGTAGGACCCATTATCTATTCAAAAATGTAATTTAATGTCCAGAAAGTTTAGCTGAAAAGAGACTTGCTGGTTTTGTTTAACAGGTTCTTTTATTATTATTATTTATTTGCAAATCGTCATGGTCCAGCATCTTCATAAACACAATTAGAACCGAATTATGGGGAAAATTATTTTGACTATTAGATTCGACAGGTAGAAAGTCATCCTGACACATTGCGATAGACGTTTCTAAAGCCTATTCCCATCTTCTGTCCTCTCCCAGCCGCCATGGCCCACTCTTGGAGCCCAGTGTGCCATCAGAATGTTCTAACAGCAGCTAGGGGCAACGGAGTGCCCCCTAGTGTGGGGCATCCTGTAAGGCACTTTCCTGGATGGTGTCACTCACCTGCGTGAGCACCCCTCCAGTGCAGCTCCCAGCAGCATTGCCCTTTCCCTGTGAAGACCCTTGAGGCTCCAAAAGGTTAACTTAGCAGGTCAAGGTCACAGAGCTCCCAAGTGGCAGAGCCAGGACTCAAACCCAGATCTCTCTGACACCTAGGGATCGAGCTTCCCGCAGGCGGGGAGTGTGGGTGGGGAAGAAATTCTGGGAAAAGGGAGGAGAGCTGACCCAAAGATAACTGCTTGCAGGACCATCTCAGAACTGCGAGTCTTTTCCTGTAACAGAGCACACATCTGTTACCTGTTCCACCAACTTCCTTTGTCCCCGCAGAAGGGATGCACAAGCGGGCTGTTCCGCCAGAGCCAGCACTACATGAACCTGTTCTGCACCAACATGATGGACCTGAACCAGAGAGCTGAAGCCATCGGATATGCCTACCCGACCCGGGATGTCTTCATGGAGAACAGTGGGCATTGCTGTCTAGGGACTAAACAGCAGGGGTCCCTGATAACGGACATAGGCTTGCCGAGTAGGGCTGCCAGATTTAGCAAATAAAAATAGAAGATGCCCAGGAGAATTTGAGCTTCATAAAAACAATGAATAACTTTTAGTAGAAACGAATCTCAAACATTGCATGAACTATACTTAAAATTTTTTCTTTGTTATTTTTTGGAAACTCCAATTTAACTGGGCATCCTCTACTTTATCTGCCACTTTTTTAACTGCTTCCTGACCCCAAAGGCTGACCCAGTAACGAAGCTCTGGACGGACGGACTGACTAGCAAATAGACACGTGAAGCCTTCGCGATGAGGCAAAAATGGGGCCTGCAGGTGGCCGCTCCTTGGCTTCAGTGTCCAGACCCCTCTTCTGATCTGACTCTTGAGTCGCTTCGAACAAGGCCCTAAGTGGGAGGCAGGAGCCAGGCCTGGGAGCCCCTACTCACTAAAGCAGAGCCTCAGGCTGCCTCCTTCCAGCCACTGCATTGAGTGCCCACCTTCTGGCACTGCCTGGTCCTGGTGGGAGGGGGCAGATGGCACTGTAGTGGCCTTGGGGAGTGGCAGGAGGTGGACCTGTGGGAGCAGAGCTACAAAGAGTCCCCTGTGTTGGCTTCCAGTCATGCTCTGTGGAATCGGTGGCTTCTCCGACTTCTACAAGCTTCGGTGGCTGGAGGCCATTCTCAGCTGGCAGAAGCCGCGGGAAGGATGCTTTGGGAGGCCTGGTGAGCTGCCCTTTGGCTCTTGCTGGGAGCAGAAGGTGGTGGGGGTCAGCATGTTATAGGCCAGGTGAGGAAAGGATGCGGCAGTGTTAGGGACACAAAAAGAGATCTGCAACATCCATGTGCAAACACACACAAACCACACACAGGTGGAAATGGGCTCAAAACTTTGGAAGCCAAAATCTTGAGGGACAGGAGGAGGTAGTCATGTTGGAAGGCCTTGGCCCCCTGCACCTGCATTAACAAATTCATTCCTTTGAGTATTCCCTGAGCACCTACTGTGGCCAGACACTGGTCCAGGCTCCAGATAAACTAGGGCACTGAGGAAAAAGAGGCAAAACACACCTAAACAAACCAGTAAGTGAAATAATTGTAAGCTCTGAAAGCACTGTGAAGGAGACACGAGCTGAGAAGGAAAAGAACATCAGGGAAGTTTCGTTAGGCAGAGTGGTCGGGGGAGATGTCTGGGAGGGGATGACATAGAAGCAAAGGGTGGAAGACGCAGTCCCTTTCCAGCTGTGTGGCACTGGACAGCTGATCCTCTTAGGAGTAAGCTGCTTTACCTCTCTGAGCCTCGATTTTCCCGACAGTAAATAAATGGGCACCACAATCTCCTTTCTAAACTGTGAGGAGCAGACATAATACATGTGAAACCACCTGGGTACAGAGGAGGCTGCCAACAAATGCTGGTGTCCTAAATGAAAAGTGATGCTCAAAGAGGCAAAGCTTGTGAAATTAGAGAGTCTGTTTTGAAACAGAGGAGTTCATGAAATGAAGATTCTCTGCAGCCCCCCGACCTATAGATTCAACCGGCAGAGTTGGGGCTGCAGAACCTGCATTTTTTTTAATGTTTTAAATTTATTTTTCAATTACAGTTGACATACAATATCATTTAGTTTCATGAGCCTGCATTTTTATTTTTATTTTATTTTAGTTAGCAGGAAGAGAGGGGAGGGGAGGGAGAAAGAGAGTGAAAGGAACATCGATCAGTTGCTTATCACACTGGCCTTGAACCAGGGACTGAACCTGCAACTCAGGCATGTGCCCTGACCAGGAACTGAACCAGCAACCTTTTGTTTTACCAGATGATGCCCAACCAACTGAGCCACACCAGTCAGAGTCATGAGAGTCATGCATTTTTAATGCGCTCCTCTGGCCATTCTGACGTGGGTGGTTGAGGGACCACAATTTGAGAAATACCAATAGATGACAAATTTAGGCCATGTGGAAGGGCCTGCAGACAGGTACTCAAGGAAACTTCTGGGAGAGCCTCCAGATCCAAGAGAGGAACTGAGTTTCTTGGGATGTTGTGAAGGGAAGGAGGTTTAGCAAGAAATGTTTAAAAATTCATCTTGAGAAGTATGTCTTTCACTCTTCTCCCAGATGCTGAAGATGAGGAATTATCTAAAGTCATTCAACACCAAGAGCATTATCTGAGAAGAGTAAAGAGGAGAGAAAAACAATTTTCAGGTAATAAAACATCCAAAGGACCTTCTTGGCATGAGATGGAGGCTCTGCAGAAAGGCTGCACAAGATGGCCCTCAGTGGAAAACAGGCCCCAGTGCCTCGGAAGGGGGCCCGTCACGGCCCTTGCATTGGGGGACGGGGGGAGGAATCCCTGGTACCCTCCTCTTGGAAAGCAGGGAGTCAAGAAATGTTGTCTCAGTGAAAGGAACAGAAGAGAAATTCCAGTGTACTACTAAAAATCACAGAGAGAACACCTCTCCATCGAAGTCTAATCAGAACATAATCCACACGTGAAACTTCCCAGGAGGGAATTGAATATAGGGAACATGGCTGAGAGGTGTGGCAACAGCTGAAACAGTAAAAGTGAGAAAACCCAGAGATGAACCACTTCAGGATACCACTGCCCTCCCCGGAGGCAGAGCTGCAGGGAGGGGGTTGTTAGCCGGATCCTCAGGGGCTGGACACAGAGGAGACAGAGACGGGGAGAACTAATACCTCAGCTTCTACCTTAGCTCTACCTGTGCCTGCTGTTGGTCGGCAAGGCCACCTGGGATATGCAGTTTGAAGAGATCAGTGCACTGGGATATGGAGCAAAGAAGGGCAGGGAGGGAATCTGAGAGCCAGCATGCAAGTCACCAGCACAATCCCAGGGGCCACATGTCCTGGAGTCCCCATCTTACACCTGTAATCCTGGACAGTGCTCCTTTTCCTCCCCAAAGCGTCCTAGTTGAAATTATAAGTTATGTGGTCAGACCACAAATACAGAGAGACTGAGAATAGTATGTAACGATATTGGAATGGAGAAAGGCAAAATGTAACATGGAATAAAGGGATAGAAGTAGGGAGGGAGAGAGAAGGAAGGGAGGACTTGATGTCAGTCTTTTTATTAGTAAAAATAAATAACTGCTGGGCAAAAGCAGGAAGGGACAAGAAATAGCCAGCCCAGAGCAGATGTCCAGCACCTGTTGGGGAATGACTTCAGTAACTAAACGTCTCACCATCAACCGCACCGCAGCCTCATCATCTACCCGCAGACAGACGAGAGGGGAGTGGAATCACAGATCCACTTTGTAGCTGCCACCAGGGGCTGGGCAGAGCAAGGGAGAGACTTTCTCAGCAGGCTCCTAGAGGCCCCCTGCCCTGGCCAGACCTGTCCAACACCAAGGGGTCTGGGACTACCTACGGCAGGTGGTAGGGAGCCTGCAGCGTACACCCTCGGAGCTGGCTGCTCCCTAACCACGGGGAGCTGGAGAGGGAGCTGTAGAAATGCAGAAGCCCAAGGCCCTTTACAGGGCCCCTGAAGGTTGACCAGCAGCCTAGAAAACTGCCCAGGAGGGAGTGATGTGCTCCTTCCTTTGCTTACAACACACACCCATGGAGATTAAGAGCACGGGATTTGAAGTCAGGCTGTCTGGGTTAGAATCTGCTTCTGCCCCTATTCACTGTGGGAATCACTTAACATCTCTGAGCCTGTTTTCTCATCTGTGAAATGGGGACCAAACAGTGCATCCTTCATAGGGCTGTTGGGCTTAATATCAGGTCATTGTGGGGTATGGCAGGCCACTGGTGAGTGCAGACTGCCAGGGTGAGTAACTGGGCTCCTTGAAATCAGCATTCCACCCCCCTCCAAGGGGCCTGGCTAGGGTTCTTCTTTTCTCCAACTTCGTGAGAGGCGAGGAAACTCTTGGCTCCCTCCACCTGCCCAGAGACTAAAGGTGTGTGGCCCACTCTGAGTTCAGAGAACTGAAGAACATCCAAGAGTTCCTGTTTCAGGCAGATGCTCTCATAGACCCACAGGTCCAAGGCAGCAATGAGGAAGTCTGTCGGGGTCAAGATATGAGCTGTGAAATTACCAAGACTGGGAGCTCAGCTCTCCTATCTGAGCCTCAGTTTCCCCAACTGAAAAATGGGGCAGTGAGGTCCTGAAGGTCTCAGAGGGCCAGAGAGCAGGGGAAACAGGAAGGAGCTGGGCAGGGGTGTGGCCTTAGGTCAGACCCTACAGGGTAGGGGGGTGGCAATCGAGCAAGAGAGCGTAAATTATATCACAGGGTCTCACCCCAAGACAGGCGCCCTGCTTTTGTGTCCCTTATTACTATGTCATTGTGAGGAGGTGTAACCTCCCAGATGGCTGAAGACTTTTCTCTGGAGAAGGAAGCCATGAGCAGCCAACACACTCGCAGCAGCTGGTGGATGGGTGCCCAACCACAGTGGAGCTGTGGGCACTAGGCTTGCACTCATTATGGAACAGCAGCTCCCACCCAGCACTGAGGGTAGGGGGCCTCTGACTCTCTCCCCAGATGGCTGCTCCTCCCACAACACAGCCATGGCGGTGGCGGCCCTGGGCGGCTTCCTCTACGCCCTGGCACAGTACCCTCTGGCAAGCGGAAGGCTGCAGCAAGCCACAAGGGCACCACCAAAGGCCACTGATATGATGGCTCCATTCCTGCCGCTCCAGGAGGATAAAATCCATGCCTTTCGCCCTTCCTTCCTGAAGTCCTGAGTCACACCCTGAGAAGGAGGTGGCTGAGAGCAGAGCACGCAGCTTTGTCCCCTTGGGGCACAGGGCCAGGGAGGGGGCTGGGATGGGTCCAGGCTTAGCAGCAGATGAATAAATTTAGAGTGCACTTGAGTTGAGCCTTGTTTCTCAGCCTTTCAGACAACTTCTAAGGCTGTATTCTGAGTCTTCAACCCCACTCAACACAAACTCTGAGCAGGGGTGTCCAATCTGTTGGTGTCTCTGGGCCACACTGGAAGAAGAAGAGCTGTTTTGGGTCACACATTTAATACATTGCAACCCATAAACACACACAAAAAAAATCTCATAATGTTTTAAGTAAATTTACAATTTTGTGTTGGGCCACATTCATAGCCATCCCGGGCTGCACGTGGCCCATGGGCCACGGGTTGGACAGCAGCTCTGACTCTAAAGAGACCTGTAAACTTTGAATCTTAAAGAAAATTTGTTCAAATGTCAACCGTTGCATCTTCCCCAATGGGAGAAATAAGGGTCTTGAAAAATAAGTTAAGTTGTGACCTAGAACTCGAAATAGGAGCACAAAAGGCGGCACATAAAATCTTTATATCCTGTGCAAAATCTCCGTGGTGTCATGAAGTCACAACACGTCACAGTCATGTCACTTTACAAAAGGCAGTGTAACATAATGGTAAACTTTGTGTTCTTCACTTTGGCTGCCTGAGTCCTGGTCCCAGTTGTCCCATTAATTAGCTCAGTGTCCCTGGGCAAAGTCACTTAGTGCATCTGTTACTCTGTTACCTCACCAGTACAAGTGGGATAATTAGAGCACCTACGTCAGTGTTAGCTCCGCCGCTGTGAGACTTACATTAGAAGAGTACCAAGAATGGTACCTGTGACGTAGAAAGTGCCAGGTAAATATTACCTGCTCCCATAAGGGTGGTGACGTCAGGTTACATGGGGACTTGTCCCCAAACAGTTGGAAGGGGCAGCTGACTTGTCAACATTTCTCTTACCACATTTTGTGGTTCTTCCCTCCTGTTCTGCCTCAGTGTGAGCGTATCTAAACATGTCAGCTGGAGTTCTGACAATAATTTAGTATTTGCCAAAAGATCTTCCGGAACTTTGTTATGGATCCAGACCCCGTCCGTGGTGCTGATTTCAGGCTAACGTCAGACAGGCATCAAAATTAGATTCCAGGGTAGAAAAGCCAGCTCAAACCCAGTCCTTGCGCTAGAAGGCTCTTTGAGTCCATCTTCTTGCTTTGCTTCAAAGTAGGAAATCACAGCTAATCATCCTTATGTAACAATTTAGTCATATTTGAGTATCTAAATGAAAATATCCTGGGGGAGGGGGGACGTCTTCCTTTGAGAATTATTCTCTCTCTACCCCTCTTTTTTGCCCCCCTTGGAAGCTTTCCCGAAATTGCTTATAAGCTGTCAGGCCCACAGGAACATTCCTGGATTCTGTTGATGAGTTTTATTTGCTGTTTTGTTTTTTACATTTGTAAAAAATATTTTATTTATTTTAAGAGAGGGAGAGAAACATCAATGCATGAGAAATTCATTGATCTGTTGCCGCTTACAGCCCCCAGCTGGGGACCTGGCCCATAACCCAGGCATGTGCCCTGACTGGGAATTGAACCAGCGGCCTTTCTGTTTGTGGGACAATGCCCAACACATTGAGCCACACCAGTCAGGGCTTGACTTGCTTTTGGGTTGTCGTTTTCGTGGGGAACCAGGGGCCAGAATTTAATACCCACTTGACACTCTGTATGCATCAGGATGTCTTTCACATTGCCTTGGAAACAGAAGTTTACCAAGACAGATACACAACCAGATTAGGGGAGAATGATGCCTTACCTCCCCATCCTTCCTGAATTCAGATGGGTCAGTCACTGGAGCCTGACACCAATTGTTTTTAGAAGGCTTAGGTTACCAAACCAGGGTGGAAAATGACTCTAGGAGAAACTGGCGCCTACAAGTCCATGCAGGATTAGGGGATCCCTAATGTCATCCACCTCCCCACACAAGACATGGAGCAAATGACAGAACCTCCTGCCTCTCAAAACTTGAAAGCTGGTACTAGGATATTGTAAATACCCTCATAAGATTTATATAATAGATACAGAACACAACACAAACATAAGAAAATGATCTCAGTTTATAATACTTAAAAAGCTTTTATAAAAAGCAGCTTTGGGCCCTAGCCAATGTGGTTCAGTGGATTGGGTGCCGGCCTGTGAACTGAAAGGTCTCCAGTTCAGGTTGCTGGTTCGATTCCCAGTCAGGGCACATGCCTGGGGTGTAGTCTGGGTTCCCCAGTTGGGGGCCTGTGAGAGGTACCTGATCAATGCGTCTCTCACACATTGATGTTTCTCTCCCTCTCTTTCTCCTTCCCTCTCCCTCTCTCTAAAAAGTAAATAAGTAAAATCTTTAAAAAATAAAAATAAAAAGCAGCTTTGGTTTTCCAGACTCCAAAACAAGCATGTATCCCCACATGAGAAAGAACTTGCTTCTAGGCAGGAGAACAGAGGGCTATGAGCTCACTTTGAAGCAAGATAGTAAGAAGTTAGGGAAATTCCTTGACAAGTGGACTAAGGGAAACTGAGACAAAATAATTAAACAAGGCCAAATAATTTGAGCAATTTACAGTCAGCTAATGAATCACAAGGTTTTATCTTCCATAACCAAGGGCACAGAAGCAAATGGTTTACACATTCTAGGCTATCCCAGTGCAGACAGGCCTCAGTCCCAGTTCCTCTTCAATAACATTCTTTAAAAATAAAACTAACTAGGCCCTTACTGGTGTGGCTCAGTGGGTTGGGTGTCGTCCAGCAAACGGGAAGTTCGCTGGTTTGATTTCCGGTATGGGTTGCAATCCAGATCACCAACTGGGGGTGTGTGAGAAACAGCTGATTGATGTTTCCCTCACACATCGAGGTTTTTCTCTTTCTCTCTCTCTTCCTGTCTCTATAAGGTAAATAAAATCTTTTTTTCCCCACCCCCTAAAATCTTTTAAAGAAATAAAACTAACCAGAAAAATAACCCTGATCCCTTTAAACACATATTTTGATGAATCAACATATTGAAGAAGACACCTGAAAAGCTAATGAATATTCTGTTTAAAACCCTCCCCTGAGAACCTCCCCTAGGATTCCAGATAGAAAGATAGATAGAAAGCCTCAAGAAAAATAATCCAGGGCATGTTCTCCCTCCCAGGAGCACGCTCCACATCCATCTGCTCCATACTTCTCCTTTCTGTCTCTTCTTCCCTCACAGGCCCACAACTCCTAAACTCTAAGGGACCCCACAAGACTTGCAACCAGGGGAGCAGAGGGCAGCAGCAGCCCATCCCAGGCTAACTACCTGAACTTGTCTCCAAGGCCCCCTTTTTCTGGACTCCCCAGTGGGCTGACTTCTTTTACTGTGACTTCTATTTCTTAGAGAGGCAAAGCAGCCCCACCGAGGATCTCTCCTGTTGCTTTTTCTGCCCAAAGTCCTCTCTTTGCTTCACTGTCCCCAGCCTTAATAAATTTACTGTCAACATAAGAAACATTCAAACCTGTAGAGAATTTTTGGTGAGTTTATTTGAGCCAAACTGATGACAATTGCTGGGAAGCAACATCTCAATGGATTGAGAAATGCTCCAGAAAATGACATTTTAGTGCCTTATTTCATACGTTAGACTCGAAGGAGGAGCCCTAAGGGGGTTACATGAAGTCCATTGGTGATAGGTTAGGGGAGGCAAGAGAAAGCAAAGCAGAGGAAACTCTGGGATTGGATCAAAGTTAAAATGATAGACACATACTTCTTTTAAATAGGTGGGTGAGGGGTAGTTAATGATCAACAATTAGCATGATAACAATAACAATGAGGGGATTTGTGGTCTCAGCTTGTGCCCAAGGGGTTTGGGGGGGGGGGCAGGGGGAGTTACCTTGACATTCCAAAGGTCTGTTACCATAAATGCAAAAAGACAATAGACAGGCTCAGTTAAGGTAAAGATTGACCTTTGTTAGGGAAAAATACTAGCCTAGGATAAGACTACCTACCATGAACAGCTTTTAGTTAATAAGTTTTAATTTTAGACCATCCTTTTTGGTTACTTTTGGTCCCTGAGTTTGTAAGGCTGCCTCACAGGCCTTCCCTGAGCTTGTCATGTTAATATGTGGCCTCTTTTTTCCCACAGTACTCAGTCACCTGGATTCATACTTTGAAATCTTTCCTAAACAAAGGCAAGAACCTACACTCTACCAGTGGACGTGAGGCAGACCCACTACAGGCCCAGACCCTGTCCAAAAACAGTGCTTCAAAACCGTTCGCCTCAACTTCTTACAGCTGTGTGACCGTGGGCCAGAGCCTGCCCTCTCTGTGTATCCATTTCCTTTTCTGTGTAAAGGATAACTTAATAACACCCATATTCCAGGATTCATAAGGGCATCCAATAAAATGGTGCAGGGCAAGCCCCTTGCATAGAACCTGAGGTTTAGATGAGCTCAAGGGGCTGTCAACTGTGAGTTTTTTAAATAAAATCTAGCATTCACACCACCTCCAGGATTTTATCAGTCACCTATTATTTACTAGCAAATGGTGTCATCCCCATCCATTCACTCAATAAATATTGACTGAGAGCTTGCTGTGTGCCACACTATGGTCTTGTTACAGGAGACACTCCAAGAAACTCGGTTCTTCCTGCCAATGCAGTGAAGAATTACAGATCAGCGAGTCTATTAGTATGTAAGCAGGGTTTACTGGTGATCCATTCTCATGTAAGAGAACAGGCCTAGCTAAGGTGGGAATGAAAGGCAAAGGTTCAGGGTAAAGCAGGGTAAGGGTGGCCAAAGGTCAGGGTGGTGAGCACAGGGGAGGCAAGGGCAAGAGCAAAAGGGCAAGATCAAGAAAGCAAGAGCAACAGGAGCAAGAGCACAAGAGAGCAAGATCAAGAGAGAGATCCTTTGTTCTGATGACTTATATAGTTGGTGGGATGGGGAAGGGTGAAGAAGTTACATATTGATTGACAGGTAAAGGTGGTGCTAGCTTTCCAGGAGGGGCGTGAATACCCAAAGGTATTAATGGGCTTCTTCCTAGAGGCACTATGGGCCTTTTCTGGGCCTTCAGGCCTTGGGATGAAAGCACAGTTTCAAAG